CCAGGTGCAGCGTCTGGAGTGGTGCGGTGGTAGGGCGGAGCGAGGAGGAGTGAGGAGCACGGCGCAGCCGGCCCTCAATGCAGGGCGTGCACGGCGACGTAGGTGAGGGGGGGAGGGCAGGGAGTTGCGCAGGGAGACTTAGGACAAGACCGTGCTGGGACATGTGACGCAGACGCGGAAGTGCAGGGTGACATAGGCGGCGGTGCCACAGAAGCAACGGGTGAGTGAGCGACCAATACGAGCAAGCTGCGGCAACCTGGGAGGACACGGCGACCTGGGGGGACGCGGTGTCTAGGGTGAACAGGCCAGACACAGGGTCTCGGGGGAACGTGGTGAGAGGGGCACCAGTGGCGGCCTCGGTAAAGACCGCGTACCGCTCGTGGCCACAGAACGTAGTGGTGACACCGAGGTCCTGAAGACAGCCGACACCAACTAAGTTCTTGGAGAACGAGGGGATGTACAGGCCTGTAAGGTAGCCCGAGGGAACCGCCGAACAGGGAAGGGTAGTGGAGCTACGATCAACTCCCGGACCTGAGGAGGGGTCAGCAAGCACGATAGCGGCAGGGGCGGCAAGCGGCATGAGCGCAGTATGGTAACGGAAGAAGCATGCAGACGCACCACAGTCAAGCGTGAACGAGAGCGAAGCGGTAGCGGCAGCTGGCGGAAGGGCTAGCGTGGAGCCTAGGCTAAACAAGGTAGATGGTCCTACGCCTGACGGAGCAGGAGAGCCTAGACTACACACAGGAGGCACAACTACACTAGGCAACACAGGGTAATGTGATCCGGTCACACTAGAGTCATCAGCATACATGGCATGCAAGGCAGAGCAAAGCTGATCTATATCCATCTCAAACGCAGGCACACGATGATGCACCAGACTGGGCCAGTCGGGAAGGTCCGGCGCAGGGAAGAAGTGGAAATGGAAGAGGTCGTCGAGGCGGCGGAAGCAACGGGTTGTAGAGTGGCTGGTACAACCACACACAGTGCCGCGGAGGGGGCCGGTACTGGAAGCCCACAGCGCCGAAGCTGCCACCCGCACCGAGCTGCGAGGGCCGCCACTGCAGCCACCACCACCAGAGGTACTGGGCCACCCCAGCGGGAGGCGGCCCCACTGCTGCTGCTGTGGCTGCTGCTGCTGAGGCTGCTGCTGCTGGTGCTCCGGGGCACCAGGCCTAGTCCCCTCGTCGGAACCACCATCACCCCTCCCACCCCCACCACCCCCAACCTTCCCACCTCCACGCCCACCCTTGGGGCGGCGGCCCTTACTCTGACGCGGCTGTGCTGAGGCCGCAGCAGTAGTCTCAGCAGCAGGGGCTGTCTTAGCGATAGCAGTAGAGACGTCAGAGTAAGTGCACTGGGAGGGAGCACAGCCATGAAAGATAGGGATTGCCGCAGTACCGCTAGACTGAGCGATAGTGCGCTGGCGAGTCTCTATCTCGGACAGGGTGGTGACAAAGGCGGTAAGGGTGAGGTCACCTGGGTGCTGACTAAGGAGGTGGTCGCGGGCAGTGGCAAGGCGGTCTGGAAGGCGCGTTAGAGTGAGGTAGAGGGTAGCAAAAAACGACGGCGGAAAGGTAGTGAGCTGAGCCTCAGTGCTAGTGGCGCGGTAGCTAGTCTCAAGTGCGCGAAGGTGAGTGGTAATATCGGCGATAGTGGGGAAGGATGCAAGATCAGGGAACAGCATGGGGAGGATCAGGTGGCCAGCACAGAGGCGGAGGAAGGGGTGGAATAGCGAGCGATGACTGCATCTAAGAACTCATTGGCGTTCGCTACAGTGGTAAAGCGGGCACGCTCAGACAGGGGAAGCCCGTGGCTGATAGCAAGCTTTGCGACGGTGTCGCGTGAGTCCCAGACAGCACGAGCAAGTGCACCAGCGGAAAATGCCTCACGCTCAGTAGTTGTGGGAGCAGCAGGGAGGGCAATAGGTGCAGCGGGGGGGGGAAGCAGGCCATCGACATGAATAACCAGGGATTGACGGTGGAGTGCAGTGGAGGAGGGTGGAGTGCGGTGAAAAGTAGTGGAGACAGCCGGCAGAGAGGAGCCAAGGCCAGTAGGTCGGGGGCGACAGAGCGGCACGGCGAGCTCGGGTCGGGGCCGGTGCGGACTGGGGCCGGCAGACTGGGGCCCGGCGAACTCGGGGCCAGCGAGCGCGGAGCTGGTAAGCGCGAGGGCCAGTAGGCAGGAGAGCCGGCGAGCATGGGGCTGGCTAGCGCACGGGGCCAGAGGGGCGCGCGGAGCTGGTGAGGCGCTAGGGGGCTAGCGGGGCGCTTAGGGGCCAGCGGGTGCGGGGCTGGCAAGGCGTACGAACGGGGCCAGCAGTACGGACGGGGCTAGCGAGGCGTACAAATGGGGCCAGTGGGGCGTGAAGGGGCCAGCGGGGCGCAGAGGGGCCAGCAGGTCGCTAAGGGGCCAGCGGGGCGTACGGGGCTAGCTGGGCACAGAGGGGCCAACGGGGCGCGAAAGGGCCAGCGGGGCATGAAGTCACTAACCACTAAGTTAAAAGGGCTTGTGAATAGCGGGTCAGTGCGCCCATAGCCCCCCAGGCTCTGCACCTGTGGCCCTTCCCCGAGAATCTTCTCAAGGGTAACCCCAGTGGGTCACTCGACAATATTGTCCCCTCTAAGAACTGATCTAGTTAGGCTATAACAAACATATCTAAACTAACTAGATGTGTGTATACATAATTTATGTTTGTTGACGTGGTATGGTCTTTTCGCTGGGTATCATGCGTAAAGTCATGCGTTGGTTGAACAGGCGATTCAATGTGACCGAGTCCCTGCCTTGGTGGATCTTGCGCAGGAGTTCCCAAGCATGTTGGGCTGGGCGGTAGCGTGCGTGCCCTTGAATAAGTGAATACGGAGTTGCTCGGCGAGGTCATCACTAGTGATCGTTGAAGGCGGAATGGTTAAACACGGTGGATTTGAGTCACCACCTTCTCCGTCAACTGGCATTGCGTAGCGTAGATTTTGTAACAGCAAGCCGTTAAGAGTCTTGCCTGGTCGATAGATTTCTGCTTCGTCGACTGGCCTTTTTGCAGGGTTTGCGTTCGCAGACTCTTTGATATTCCACTGCTGCAGATTTAGAGGAGTAGCAATTTCCCGTTTCTTGCCGTTTCCTCTATCAGAATAGGAGCCTCTTGAATTTATGGTAAACTCGTATGATGAACACTTTGCCTGCTTTACAGAAACCGAGCATCTATAATTTTTGCTCGAATGAAAGCGCGTGGTGGATGGGTTGCCCACCCCATCGAAGTTGCGCAACCCAGTCTGGTTACCGAGCTCGCTGAACCTCGCATAGCGTGCGAAAGATGGGTTGACTGATTTCTGGTTGGGTTCGGTTGGGTATTGTGCCAGTTGCACAATCTGGGTTGCGGTCTTGACACGAGGCAACGCTCAAACCATGTACACCTGGAGTACACCTAAGGCCCAGCTCAATACGTGGCTCAATCAGAAACCATCGTCCAATAGCGTTGGCACACGGGCAACGGCCCACTCAACGTGGGCCGTGAACAGAGCCAGCAGTGCAGCGTCATCATGACAGCGGTGACGAACATGCGGCACAAGACGAAAGATGTGCGTCGCAACCGTTTTCGCCACAAACTTCCAGCCGCGCTCGGAATAACGCTCCGGCGAAGCTCATCGAGCCTTTCGTTGACCTTGCAAAGGTGCGTACGCCTTGCTGGGTTTGTTTGTGGCTTCAGCATCGCCGCATGAAACCGAACGCTGACTTGGCAGCGAAATGGAGTCGCGATGTCCTGATGCCAGGGGTCGTTCTCAACATCAGACAACCAACCAAGGAACAAACTCAAAAACAAATTCCCACAATCCACGCAGAAGTTATTTTTGCGACACGAACCTTCAATTCGTAATGTAATAAATCTTTAGAACACGCACCTAACACTTGGAACTGAAATGCGACTCCAAACCCTCGCTACATTTCACTGAGTATAAAAGAGAGCAAACCAAACCAGAGAAACTCACTCAACATCTAACTCGCCAACCACCACTCTGGTGCTACACCAGAGAAACTCACTCTCGCTTGAAAGCGCCGAAATTTAACACAGGGTAGTGAACAATGGCTCGCCAAAATATGCCACTCAAACCTACCCCACAAAACATCAAAACGGTAACCTTCGTGCCCGTGCGAAAGGCCCACATGCCCGTGACGATGCCGTGCGAAACCCGTGCGCGTTTTGTCTACCGGCACCCTGAAAAGTTGTGTTCCTCTGTCAGGCTCAAGTTGAGCCCAGCTCATCTTGGCTGTGTTCTACAGGCATTTGACGTTGACGTCGAAGTCGACATTGAGGAAGCCTCCCAAGCGATTTCGAGAGCAATGGTTACCACTCAAACCAGGTGCACTTTCCAAACCTCGCTTGGAAGCCACGCGGCCCAATTGTGGAAAGCGCAAGCGAAAGGAGAGAGCGGCGAATTTCAAAAATGCGCAACAAAAACCTGCTGCCCCAGGGCAGCAGAGAAATATTCCGGAGCAAAATGACGATAAAATAACCTACAGTGAGGTAACATGCCCTCACAACCCCACTACATCTCAAGAGCACCGAGGTCCATTTATCCCTTACAGCGCAAGTTGTTTTGCAGGGCAGGCCCAGGTTCGAGAGGCGGGGTAAAGTGGTGGCACTGGTTTTTTTTTGGTGTGGAGGCCTAGTACACCCTTGCGGCTGATGTAACGCCACACGCAATGTGAACTCCGCGATTGAGCGAACGTCAGCATTGCGTCACGTTTGCGTCAAATTTGCCAGGGAGGGAAGCGGGGGGGGTGTTTCCCTGACGTAGATGTCATCTGTACATGGACCTGTTCTGCAGGCATGTTGATGTAACTAGGTTCGGGTACCTTGTGCCAGGTTTGGACGAAATTTTGCGGGCTGACCCTCGATCCGAAGCAAAAAAACAGGCTTTCGGAAGGTGCTCTGATGTAATCTGCACTTTCCTTTTCTGCCTGCAGAACGCAGCCCTTGGGTGATGGAGAGCAGCCGGCTAGAAAACGCGGGTCAAGCCACAGTCGTGGCTGTAGCGGGACTGAACTTTGGGGTTGTGAAATGAGGCTTTACAAGCAACTTCAAGTTGCTGGGGTGTTTCTTAGGGGTGATGTGCTGTGCCTTGTTAGGGTGGCTCGTGAAATCACCACGATTCTCAACGTACTAAGTTGCCATGATGGCGCTGCTGCCTCCTCGCTCCCGCGGCTCGCGCTCAGACTGCCATAGCCGCAATATCGCGTCGTGTTTTCCCCGCGCGCTGGTACTCGCCCTCCTCCTCCTCGTGGCGCTTCCTGTCCCTTCTGCCGCGTCACATCTCGCCTCCAACGCCGCGATTCCCGGCGGAAAAGGCGACAAGGCAGCGATGATCGGCGGGGGGAGCCCCGATCAGCAGCATGCCCGCTCGAACCTCCTCGAGACTCGCGCCTCTGCACGCCGCGCCACCAGGCCCAACCTCGCTGACAGCCAGCGTAAGGCTCAGGTCGCATTTAGAAATAGGGTTTCTACTGACCATGGTTATTGGATCCCGTCGACTGCCTAGTAGTAGCGCCAAACTGATGCCCTCAAATCCCCATTTCCCCCCAATTTCTCCCTAAGGAGCCCATATCCCCCATCCCCATTTACCCATTATATGCCCTTTACCACCATCACAATAGAACTGCTCTTAAATCGTTCTACTTTCGGTGTGGAAAGAGTTCCGTCTACCAGAACAACAAATCTCATTCTCAATTTTGAATCCTTACTCATTTTATAAGAGCTCGGAGCCTCATAGTGACTCATTCGATAGGACATCGGACATTGGTGTATTGTGATGCCCCTTTCCTCCCATTTTCCGCCAGATCTTATTGTGAGAGCGTCTCGTCTTCTCACAATGCGTGATGCGCCGTCTTGAACCATTTTCCTGTCGGTTCTGTTGGTCTGGCCCTTCACCTACACCTTGACTCTTCAATTCACTGCTCCCTCCTGCCCAGGCCCCTCTGCGTAAGGCCAGGCCTCTACTATAAAGAGCAAGCGTAAGGCTTGGCCTCTATTATAAAGCGCAAGCCACGCCCTTGATAATAGACATGCCTATCATGGATGCTAACCACTATCGACAACCTTAGTGGAGCACCCCGCCCCCCTTCCGTTTTCTCCGTCCTTTGTTCCCGCATTTCCGTGTTCCCCGATGCCCCATATTCCCCCATTTCTCCGATTCCCCATTTTTCCAAGATGCTCTCTCCTGGGCCTGTCTCCCAATCCCAAGGGCCATTCAAGACAAATATTATGGAGGAGGACCCTCGGGGAGAGATTCAGGCCAACGCATTCGAGCTGCCCCCATTTCCGGCGTCCCCAGTATCTCCCCATTTATCGCCATCTCCCCATCCCCCGTCTCTCCCGTTTTCCCCGTTTTCCGCATTACGCATTACCATATCTCCCCCCCTCCCCTCCCCCTTCCCCCCCTCCTCCCCCCCACCTCGTCCCCCCATCGTCCCTATCTCCTGTACCGTAAGGGAAGCTCACCCGCGTCCAGCCACTGCGTGATGTGCTTTTGAGCGAGTTCAACCATTTTCCTGGTCCACGCACACCTTCACTCTTCAACTCACCGCTCCCCTCAGCGCAGGCACCTCTGCAGCACACTCCCAAGCCCTTCTCAGGACGATCCGCACAGTGCAGTGCAGTGCAGTGCAGCTACCCATGCAACGCCACGCGCTGCCCCTATTGCCTCCAGCGTGGGCCCTCTTGACGACTCACCGGCTGCTCATCCTCCGATCATGTGCTTCAACCTGCTCACCCATTTTTCTGCTTCGTTCCTTGCTTCGCTCTGCTGTGTGTGCTGGCCGGCCTTGCCTTGCCGTGTGTGCTGGCCTTGCCTTGCCGTGTGAGTGTGAGAGAGAGCGTGCTGCGTGCTGCACTCTGCCAGTGCGTGCGCTGCTGGACCTCAATGCCGCCTGGCACCTCTGGCCCACCAACTCCAACCGCTCACGCCGCTGCGACCAGTGGGACTACGTGCAGTGCAGCAAGCAGGGCTTCATCATCGCCCTGTACGTTGCGAGATCTGGAGAAAACAGGCTAGAGAGAGGAGGAAAGGGACAAGTTAGAGGGAAGAAGAGGGGGCAAGCAAGAGGGAGGAAGATGGGTATCACGGGGGAGGGATGCAGGGCCGATGTGTGGTTGTTTTTTAGCAGCTGGGGCAGTGACGGATGGTTTGTCCAGAAGCTTAAGAGGAGAGCATCCTGCACAGCTCCGGTGCAGCGCCGCATCCATGATTTCTGGAAGTTTTTGCTCCACCAGGTGATCATGCCCGATTCGCATGTTCGAATGTGTGTTTGAGTGTGAGAAGGCATGAGCAAATGGTGAGTCGAGCCTCGACTCGCCCGAGTCGGCTCTGACTCACCCTGGAAACGAATCGAGTCACTTTCGAGTCGGCTGGAGTCGGGTTGCCAAGATTTCTGACTCGTGACTCATTTTCAAGGCGCGAGTCAGGGCTGGTTTGGTCGAGTCAGGGGCCGATTCGGCTCGAGTCGAGCAGCCTAGACTCGTTTTTAAAAGCTGTGTTTTCAAAGCCCCTTAGTCCATTGCTGCCTTGTGTGTTACAGTTTTACTGCTGCCACGATAGGGGGAGGCAACTTCGGTTATGTTTTCTGCAATACAGCTGGGCCCATAGTACTTGCATTCCGTTCACATGGAAGGGGGGTGTAGCACCAGTAACTGGGCCCTCATGGTGGGGCATGGCGTCCATGCTAACACTGCAGGGCTGAGAGGGTAGTCTCCTGTACATGACGGATCCACCTAGATTTGCGTGGCGCCAAGTAGGTAAGGCCGTCGTGGCGCTAATGAGGGATCATCCTTCTACTAGGCGCTATTAGGGGTAGGCGCCAAGGTTTAAATCGTGTGACGGGGCGCTGAGGAACGCAGATGAGTTTAGTTAGGCGCCCTAGGAGCGTCTAAGACTGTCGGCAGGCTTGCACGACAGAAAACACGACCGATCAGATCGGTTCTATTGGCCATAGAGACCCCCCCCTCTCCCTGGATGTCGGTGGAATCGAGATTGATTCGACTCGACCGCTACTCGATCGAAAATTTCTTCCGAGTCGAGTAAAAATCGTGACTCGGCCGACTTGAATCGACTCGACTCGTGTGGAGTTGAAAGAGCCAGATCTTTTTCTCCTTGTTTGCTCATGCATATGTGTGAGTGTGTTTGCACGTGTGTGAATATGTGTGCGTGCACATCCCCATGCATGCATGCGCTCGAAACCTGTGCATTTTTGCGTGTCTTGAATTTTACGCCTTGATCTTTGCAGTGAGCTGTCTGATCTTGACATCAATGCGACCATGCCTCTCAATATCTTTTCCACCATGCCTTACCTCAGACGCCTGTAAGGCCCTGTCTTACCCACTGCCGTCGCCCACCTTCCTTCTCCATCTATCTCATCCTGTCATGCAGCACTTGTATCCGGCTCTACTTCCTCTATCATCCTCCAGCTGCCACTCATTTGACTTTCCTTCTATAATTTCCTGTGCTCGCCTCGCCCTTTTGCACCCCTCTGTGATTTGTTTTATTTCCATACCCTCCGTGCTTCTCGACCTTCTGTTCTTATATAGAAAAGCACAGCGCTTCAGGCACTTTTGTAGAACAGACTCTGTCCTACTATGTGAATAGATTCTCATGAATAGAATGAGCCTGCTTGGTGAGCTTATTCAGGCCCCCCAAACCCCCGTCAACTCTCCCCCCTTCCCCCTCCCGTCCCACTCTCTGCTCCCCTCTCCTCCCCCACGCCCCCCGCCCCCCCCCCCCCCACCCCCACCCGTCAGCGTGCTGGCTGGGGACTATTTTCTCCATGGCTCCATCACTCACCTGTCTCTGCCCACCTCCCTGCGCGTGCTGTGAGTGACCGCGACTGCACTCTGCCGCTCCCTCTCCCTTACCTGTGCAGCCAAATACTGTTGTTGTATGGTTGCCACAAAGGGGATGCCAGGGTCCACCGATGCCAATAAACCACTGAAATTAACACCCCCACCCTCTCCTCTCAACCCTTTCTCTCCTTTGCATTCTTGTTTTCGAAAGCATAATATCTCTCCCCGCTTCTTCCCACGGCCTTTTGAATTCAACCCCTCTACCCGAACTCCATTTTCCCGAAACTAAGTGACCTTCTACTATATATAAAAAATCAATTGAAACCTTTCAAAATATGCCCATGTATACCATAGGGGGCAGGTGAGTACACTAGCGTGTGGGATTTTTAAATGAGCAGCTGGAAGAGACCCGGACATGCTCAAACCACGTTAGAAACCTCCCAGAACGAATTACTTGTAGCCATTAGACATGGTCACGGGAGGACCCCAGCCGAGCCGGCTCGTGGCGAGCCAGGGCCGAGCCGGCCGGGCCCTTGACGAGCCACCACGTCGAGACGGCTCTCCGATTTTGCCCGGCTCGACTTGGCCATAATGGACTAGCCAATGCCTGGCTTGACTTGTAAGGCTCATGCCCCAAATTTTGTTTCAACCGCAGCCGATCTGTGCGGATTCGGAATTTCGCCCCGTAAATCTGCGCGATCGGACTGTTTTGACCACCGATCCGCGAGTATTTAGCGTTTTGTCGCAAGGTCCATGCGGATTGGATCGCTTCGACTGGCGATCCGCGCGGATCTGGCTTTTCGCCACCCTCCACCCCCACGAGCCGCGCGCTGGCTCGTCGACGAGCCAAACGGCTTGGCTGGTCGCCGCCTCGCCGAGAGTGTGCGCGACGAGCCGAGGCTAAAAAGCGACGAGCCAAGCCGGCTTGGACCAATAACCATGTCTAGTAGCTATGGTGGATAGCCATGGTGTAAATGAAGGTTGGGAAAACGCTGCCTTGAAATGCATAGCATAAGATTGGTTATGAATGATATCAATACTTCAGGAATGATATTGCTTATCGCTAATGCTGTAGCAGCTCGTTAGAAAAATAAGCATAGATTGCATTAGGAAAGAAAAGGGCTAACATAGAGAAGATAGGAAGGTCAATTGGCGAGGAAGGTCAATTGGCGATTGGGTCCACAAGGAGAGGCTTTCAGAATGCTATCTTGACTACTAAGAGCAGAGGCCTGAGGGTCAGCACCAGGGACTGGACTGCCGCTGCAAGGATCGCGGCGTTCACGGGCAGTCTGGGCCCGGTTAGGTGGGCGCCCATTATTGCCGGCGAGGTAACAGTCGTCAGTCAGCTTCTGGAAGCAGGTGGCGTGGCAGTGGTTTTCCATAGCGTAGACGACCAAAACGACGGCGTGGTGGCGTACTTCCAAAACTCGTGATGACTTAAAGCGACGTAAACATAAAGCATAAGTTCCAACCAAGTTCTTTACCCCCTCAAACTTGAGTTGTCCAACCAAGTGTACATCCAAGAAGTTGTGAGCACTTATTCCTCTATCCTGAGCATGCCATCCTTTATCTTACTGCACAGATGATGCCATCAATGACTTATGCAAGTGCAACGTTCTATCGTACCGCCTTTTGCTCCTCCCTCTTAGGGCATGGTGCAGCCCTTACGAAGCGCGAAAATTCCGGACAGAAATCCGGACGGGGTTTCCGCCAACGTCTGGATCGTGAAACATACAAAATGCGTTAGAACTCCCAAAACATAGGTGTACCAGTACAGGGTTCAGATCGTGCACTGTAATTTCTCAAGTTCGGTCTGTGACATATGCGAACTATGCGGAACCGGCCGAACCAGGAAAGGTTTCGCCAAAGAGAAAAAGCGAGAGTTGGGGTTTGATGTTTGTTCATGCTGTTTGGTTCGTGCGTCACACACATTTTTGCGGTTTTTTTTGTTCATGTTTTCGACGCGCTTCAGGGCAACATGCCCAAACGCCACTCGAATGTCTGGACTTGGCCGTCTGGACTTGTCCGGACGCGGTTCTGACACCCCGAAGGCGTGTCCTAAGAGTACGTACCGTCTGCCTATTGTGGTAAAGTTACCAAATGACCAGAAGTAAAAATGCAAAAATCGTCTAGGTGGACTCGTCCTCGCACAATAAACCTATCCGTGACGGCGACCGTTCGTTTTGTGACTGTACCCAGTACGTTTCGAGGTACTCTCGGGAAAAGGCATGACATCCACCAAAGCGGGATACCAGACCTTGATTATGCGAGGAGAACCTAATGGGGACCTCGTTCTTCTCGAACGGCATGTGTAACATATCGCCCTACGAACCGCCCCTCCTAGTCTAACTATCGCGACTAATCTAGATGTTCCTGATTTCCCCTTGCGCGCGAAGTTGCGGGAACATATTTGGAATGTTGGGTTGGGTTGGATAGGTTTGGGATTGAAGGTTGGGAAGACAGGTTTGGGTGATAGGGTTGGAATGGTGGTTACCACTCCACCAGCAAGTGACAGTTTGGATTTGGGTTGAGCAGCAATTGTTCTTATTGGCTGCAATTCCAACCAATGCACATTTAGCAACCCAAGATAAGTTTGCACACCTCAGCAAACTGATTCCAGCTCACTACAAATTCCTTGGTTGAGAAAACCCAACCCATGCCACATGGGCAAGGCCCACAATTGGTGCACCACCCCCTTGGCCATGGAGGAGGTGGTTGCACCCCAAGGGGTCTAGGAAGTGGGAGGGCTCTTGGAGCTCATTCTTCACTTTCCTTCCCCAATAACTCAATATTGGAAGAAGGATCCTCCTCCTCTCTAAGTCCTCCAACTGCTATCTCTACCACAAAGGACTTAGCTAAATCTTGGCTATTTCCTTGTCATCTCCAAGTTCTCCTTGAGGTTCAAGCCTACTCCTAGTTCTAATTAGGAGTGCTATTTCGTTGTATTCCGCTATTTATAAACCGGTGTTGCTATAAACCGGTGGATGTTATAGCATGCGAGGAGAACCTAATGGGAACCTCGTTTGGCGAGAAGCTGGGCGAGGCGGGTTACAGATTTCCGCTTCGCGTGTGGTGTTCCCATGTTCCCTTCCATTTGCGGGCGAATCGTGTTAGCCTGGGGACGGATTTACGGGTGCGGCTGTTTTTACCTTCATGGACCCGGACGACTTGTTCACACTTTAGTGTACAGTTTTGGACCTGCTCGCGTGTATGGTTTTTTCCCCGTAAAATGCCCCATACATACTCTTAGGACGCGCCTTGACCACCCAACTCCTCGCAAACGTTTTGCAAAAAACCACAACAGTTCGCAAATGCTGTAAGATAAAAAAGTCTGGACGGCTTGGGTACGGCTGCACCGCGTGCTTCGTTTTCCTTTCACACTGCCTGTGGTTCCCTTCTTCTTTGTGCCCTTTCCTGCCCTGCTTCCGTCTGTCGCCTTCCCTGTATAAACCCCCCACAGGGACGTTTCCGACACATCCCTATCTGGTTGGCTGCCATCCACCATTAACTCTCTCCCAGCCCTCACACACCTGTGAGTGCAGACACACGTGTCCTTTGCACATGTTGTTGGGTGCACGTGTCCCTCTCTCCCCAACTCCAACTGCCCGTTTCAGGCTGACTATTTTTATAGCATTGACATGTAATCCGGAGAAAGTCCATGAATTGATAGGGAGCAGGGTTGCACATTGGTTGGCCTCGGGCCGGGCTGACCTGTGACGGTCTCGAGCCTGGTCCACTTGGACCGTGATTAGAGGTCGGGGCATCCACGGGCCAGGCCGGCCTGACCTCCCAACTCCCTGGATCTGATGAAGATGGTATGGGGATGCGAGATCCTAGATCTAGCGAGGCTAGATTAGAGAATGCAAGTTGTGAAGAAGTAACATGCAGAGATGCCAGATCGGAAGTTTCCGGCACCCTAATTGTTGATTGAATCGAACTTGATCTCGGAATGCTAGATCTGATGAAGGAAGATGTAGGGTTACCCTAAACGAAAAAGCTGGATTTAGAAACTCCAGATTCCTAGAACCACAAATGCCAGAGATAAAGAGTCATTCTAGTTCTAGAGATATAGATCTAGAATTTGTAGGAATAGGGTGCTGGATGTAGTGTACGAAGTCCGTAGGGTAGGGCGGAACCCACATTAGGTTTAACAAAATGCTCGCGGGCGACTTGGTCCGAGTCTTAGCCCATCCTGGGCCCATACAAATACGGGCTGGGGCCAGGTCGGCCCAACCTAGACCCATCCTACATGCAAACCTAGTACCACACCATGTGCATCTTCAGCTGAGGAACAGGAAGACACTCGGCCAAGTTCGCACCGCACCAGCAGGAAGTCATGGCAGCCATGGCGGATCAACCGTGGTGAAAAGTAGGCCTGGAAAATCGCTGCCTGAAGTGCCTGGTTGCGCTTGAATTGCATAGCACGAGCATGTCTATGAATGATTCCAATACTGCAAGAATCAAACCGCTTCTCGCTTATGCTGTCTCTCAACAGCTTACGCAGTTGTAGTGATTCCTGAATCTATTGTGCCCCTTTTTGCTTTCCCCTCTCATTTTTCTCCTCACACTCCCTTCGGTTCCTCATTAATTCATGTCTGCCCTCGTCCTCTGCGTCCATCCGCTGCCCTCCCTGTATGAACCCCCCACAGGGACGTGTCTGACACACCCATATCTGGCTCGCTGCCATCCACCATTCTCTCTCTGTCAGCTCTCGCACACCTGTGAGTGCGCACACACCCTCCTTAGCACATCTTGTTGAGGATCCTCCATTGGAAACTTAGGTGTGGAGTTGCATTGATGGTTAGGGTCCTTAGTGCTTAATACCCGAAGGCCAAATTAGCTCTAGGGATGCAATTCTTAGCCTCTACCACGTTTCTAATACTCGGTTGGACGGGAGGTTGCACTAGCTCTACTAGGCATGCGCTTGCAAGCCTACTTTGAGGTTGCATTGCATGTGGCACCTCCATCGTGAGTACGGGTGACTTGCACATGGATATGGACACCGTATATCCATCAGATGTTAAACTCATCACTTGTAACTACTCAAAATTCAGCTCCTCAAGCTCCGCTACAGCCCAATAATCACCTCCCTTTGAAGCTCTCTCCTCAACTAGCTTCTTCTCCAGTCCATCTTCTACATGTCTGAAATAATAACGTTTTCTTGCCAATAGATTTGTCTCTCCTGCCATGATGCACTCATTCTTCCGATCTAGTGTTAACCATTTTTCCACAGCATCGCAACCGCCCGACATCACACACTGTTTGAAGCAAAAAAGAAGCGTCTCTTTCAGTCGGTGTGGCCAAACACCGTGGTATCCATTTCATAGTCAATTCGCATGTACTCGACACGACATCCTGAGATATTTGACCAAACAAAAATATATTTGTTTGTATACTTGAAATATGCCTGTTCGTATTTTACTTGCTGGAAACAATTTAAAGATTGGAAGTTTAAGGACAATGCAATAAAGTTTGCAAGTTCAAATTGAGGAGGGAGAATGGAGGCAGCAGGTAGGGGAGAGGAGGAGATAGAGGTTAGCAGATTAAACCGTTATATACCAATACCTGCAAGCAAGATGATTATAGTGAGTGTGAAAAAAGAAAAATTATCGTACTTGCATTTACACCCTTCTCTGCATTACAGGCGCAGTTTACGCAATATTCAAGGCAAATTGATGGAAATCACGTTGCCTTCATTACTCTTTTCTGTGCCCCCCCTCCTCCCATTTTCTCAAACCAGAGACATCTCCGATTCTTCTATATCTGGCTTCCTGCCATCAAATCTCAGCCGTCTCTCTGGCCTCACATATCTGTCAGTGTTGTGCCACCCTAAGCATATACTCAATGCCTGGTGAAGTTATTTCGAACCTGTCTGCATCCATACATATGGTTTTGCAGCAGCCATAAATCTGTAAAAAATACGTCACTGTCTCTCTTGTTGCCGTGGTTGTCCCCTCACCTCCATAATGCACATGCCCCCTGCGTCATGTCATTTTATCCTCTTTGTGCCCTTCCTATTCTGCGTAAGAAATAACATATGCAATATAGCTGGGGATCAGTGTTGATCGGAGGAATACTGAGGAGGAAGAAGGGCAGAAATGGGAGGGTTGGGTTAAATGGGAGGAGGAGTAAATGCCAGAACAGTAAGTGGCAAAGAAGGGAGAGATTGGAGGAAGAGGTAGAGTGTGGGAGGGATGGGACAGGGTAGGCATGAGCAAAACAGGGTAATTACCCGACCCGACCCGGTTTTTCACTACCCAGGGTTGGGTATGGGTAATTACGGGTCGGGTAGTAGTCGGATAGTTCCCCCAGGACCACTACCTAAGCCTGTAAAAACGAATACGGATTCGAGTACGAATATTTTTCTCCGAATAATTGCGAATAGAAGCTGGATTTGTTCGACTACTGGGGAAGACGAGACGAATACAAATGTGTCTCGAATACTCGGGCTATAGACCTTTTCTTTTCACGAACCCATTCTGCTTAGTGCATTTTAGGAATTGCCATTTACAAAATGTCCGCTGCTCGCCGAGGCCCAGCCCAGATCGGTGACAAGGAGTACAAAATCGAGCTTAACACTCAATGCTCACCTTCTTCCCCCTGGACAACCTTGGTCTCTCACAATACTGGAGGTTGCTGCTCCACCTCACTACCCACGCCCTTTGATTGCCCTAAACCCTCCACCTCACTACCCACGCACTACCTGCTATCCTCCTCTAGTTGTGCTCATTCAGGTCATTGGACGTCATTAAACTATGGCTACTTTAGCACCACCCTGATTTCTGACGACCGATTTCTTCAGTATCGGGCGTTTCCCCTTGCCCCCCGCTAAACAACAGGGCAAGATATGATGCCGTTTCGAATACGAATACTTTGCGAATAACCAAGTATTCGTGGCACGAATATTTTTCCGAGACGAATATTTGACCCCACGAATACCTCCGAATAAACAGCCAATTTGAATTCGTTTTGTATTTGGGTATTTGCCGAATACCGAATAGTGTGCGAATACCGAATTTTGTATTTACAGGCTTACCACTACCCGACCTGACCTTTTGAGGGTGGGTAGTACAATACCCAGGTGGCGGGTCGGGTATACCCGACCCGGTTTCCCCAGAAGCCGGGTAATACTCGCCCCCTGCAAGAGGCCCGAAAATGCCCCAAAGCATCCCCTAGGCTCTCTAAAAGCATTGTCGCATGGTAGTGCGTGTTACCCTGTAGACGTGTCTAGGTTTTATGAGTTCACTATTGTGCTGGCGGGCTGTATTTTGAGCGAAAGTTGATGACTAAGTGTATGTTATGTGCAACAACTAAGCCAAACTGAGTGCATCGGCCAGATTGCCACACGTAGTAGTGTCTTGCGTTGGGGTACTTTCTGAATTGTAGTAACCCCACCAACCTACTGAGCGTACAAAGGCCTGCAACGTCATCAACTGCGAGGCCATGCGCACCTGTGGAATACCACAAAAGGGGAATCCACGCGTGTGGTTGGCCAAAAGTGTGGGCGTTCTCTCAAAACAGGTGAAATCGGATTGAGAGTCCTGGGATCTTTGCCTTAGGGTTAGGAAGCTTGTGTGATACTAGGTATGGAAACCCTAATGTGCCAGGTGGATTCTCTATGAAACCCTCAGCACTACGCTCCACATACCCTTGAAGTCGACATAACTACATCGCAAAAAACGTATGCTCGCAAAACGATTGCGTAGCATTTGCGCAAATGATTTGCAAACGTTTTGCGAACATGTGGGTGAAAATACCTGGCGGACTTGGATTAGAACACTTGGCGAATGCTTTGACAACATTTCCCGAAACACTTCTTGGTTCACGACATCGAATGCTTAGAGGTGTCTTTTCGGTAATCTCCGTGGTTCGTTTACAAATGCATGGCGGTGTTCTTTCTACAACTTCTGCAGTGAACATGTAAATGCATAGAGAAGTTTATGCTGACCATGTTTAGTATTCAGCATGATTTGTTGCAAACGTTTGGCGGTGTTTTTCATGGATCCGTTTTTGCAGGCTGCAGTACCCTTTAGGGCATGGTTTGGTACAATTAGGGCATGCCTCGTTTGGATTAATTTATAATGCAACAAGCAAATCATTTGATATATAAAAAAACATCTACACCACAGTACACAACCACTATGGCCCAACTGCCCTTGCCTACCAGCACCCCTATGTGGGTCCCTAACACAAAGAGAAACTGAGCGGCGGCACACCAGGAGCAGCAATTCTTGAAACTGGATTGCAATTCCTGCACGTTACGTTCAGAACTTGTTATCTCGAAATTATTCCAAGGTCGAAATCACCAACAATAAGGACAATGCTTACAACAACGAAGTAGCGCGACGCTGGATATTGAGTCCTGCACATTAGGTTCAAACATTGTAATCAAATTAGTTATATTCCATACGACAACAATTACAAAAGCAGGCTTACCGGAGGAAATAGCTCGTGGTAGGCTACAAATTTCTGCACGTCATACGAGACATTGTTGTGAAATTAGTCCGACGATCAAATGACCAGCGAGACTTACAATTGGACTTAGGGTTGAGCAAACTACCCGCCCGGGTCGGGTACCCGGTACCCGGACCCGCTTTTAGGGCGGGTCGGGTATCGGAAATCCTGACAATTACCCAGCGGGTCGGGTCCGGGTTACCCGGGCCGGGTATCAATACCCGCTACCCGAAATGCTACCCGATGTGTCGGGTAACGGGTACCCGACCCGGTCGGGTAAAAATTACCCGAGGTCGGGTATTCCACCTAGACATGGGCGTAAGTCGCGCTGTGTTTTAGGTTTTGCGGCAAAAACGGTTTCGGAGGTGAGGGGGGACGAGTGGAGCATTTGTGAGGAGAAGTTGGAGTTTGTAGATGGGGAGGAGTTAAGTGCGGTGAAAGGGAGGGAGTTGGGTGGGAGTTGGAGAAGAGGTTGGAGTTTGTAGATGGGTAGGAGTTCAGTGCGGTGAAAGGGAGGGAGTTTTGTTGGAAATGTTGGAGTTTGTAGACAGGGAGGAGTTCAGTGCGGTGAGAGGGAGGGAGTTTGGCTGGAAATTGGAGTTTGTAGACGGGGAGGAGTTCAGTGCGGTGAAAGGGAGGGAGTTGGGTGGGAGTTGGAGAAGAGGTTGGAGTTTGTAGATGGGTAGGAGTTCAGTGCGGTGAAAGGGAGGGAGTTTTGTTGGAAACGTTGGAGTTCGTAGACAGGGAGGAGTTCAGTGCGGTGAAAGGGTGGGATTTTGGTTGGAAATTGGAGTTTGTAGAGGGGGAGGAGTTCAGTGCGGTGAAAGGGAGGGAGTTGGGTGGTCAAAATTCGACCCCCAGGAAACGCGACTCTCATTTGAGAGTCGCGTTTTCAGGAACCCTACCTAGCCTAGCCCAACTTTAGGATGTCCACTAGTAGGTGGCGGGTAGTATTACCCGCTTTTCAGGGTCACCGGGTCGGGTATACCCGGACCCGCCAGGCGGGTATTGTATTACCCGCCCCTTAAGGCCGGGTCCGGGTAAGGGTCCTGGGCATATTACCCGACCTGGACCCGACCCGAAATTACCCGACCCGAGGTCGGGTATTGCAAAACCGGGTCGGGTCGGGTAATTACCCGGTTTTGCTCAAGCCTAATTGGACTTACATGGGGAATTATCTCGATGTTGGACAGAGTTACATAGCTAGCTGCGATAAGGACAAGCATCTTGAGGACACATGCGAATCATTAGTTTGATTGATACGTCAAGTAACAAATGCCTTCAACCCCAATCGCGCATTAGCTCATGAACATGCAGATGAGAATGACATGGGTGAACAAGAATACCTATGAGCTGCTTGAAACGATAGACTGTCGTGAAACGAGATCCTCAGCATAGGGCACACTAGGAACGCTCGGGGTAATCGAAGCCTGTGGGAGAGGAAGGAGCTGCTCACTAGGGGGCGCGAAGGCGAGAGGGGGAGCTGAAACTGATGCAGATAGAACTGCCGAGGGCTATTATTGTAAGTAACGTCTAGCTGGAAGGCATGAGAGGGCGCAAGGGGGCAAGTAAGGAAGGGATCAGAAGTGTGTGGTGGGCTGGAGTGCTGGCATGTGGGGTGCAGCGTGGTGGGCTGGGTGGTTGGGGCGAGCAGGTGGTTGAGCTGGATTAGCCGCTCCCCTTTTGATGCCCGAGGGGGTTGTTCAAGTTCCTCATCGTGCATAGGGTTAGGACGTGGTATCTGGGTTTCGCAACCCATTGGAGCTGCGTAACCCAGCCTGGTTACAGGGCTCGCCGAACCTCGAATGGCGTGTGAGATATGGGTTGAGTTGGTTGGGGTTGGATTGAGTTAGTTTTTTTGGCAAATTGCACATATTTTATATATTATAATATTTCAGTTACTTATGCACAATTTCAAAACTTTGTAGAAGTTTAAGTGTACAAAAACCAATCATTTATGCAAATATAAGCCACGGGAACACGTTTATTATTCAGGTGTAACATTCACAAAACAACTCATTCGCATAACATCTCATTCGCAGAAGACTCGCGAATCATTTACGTGCAAAGAAACGAGAAAAAAACATTTGGCGAACACTTGGCGGACGATTTCCGACTGTATGCCCGAGCTCGAATGGTGAAAACGATCTGCGAACGTTGCACTTTTTGCAACGTAGCTTAAGGGGATGCGGTTAAGCAAGATGTTGGTCAAGGTCGAAGCTAGAAAACCCTAGATTGGCAAGAAATTTCGACTGAACGGTCGAAATTTCTCAACCAGCGCGAAATTTGTCGCGCTGGTTTCCGATGGGAAGTCGCGCAACCCGACTTCGGGTCAGGTAAGTCAAAATGATTACCCGACATCAAGTCGGGTATATCCGACCCGACGGGTACTCAGTTACCCATCAAGTCGGATAGCAATCCGGGTCGCGGGTATTGCGAGGCCCAAGCACTACCTGAACCGGGGTAAAAGTCGGGTAGGATCGGGTATACCCAACCCACAGGGGTTTCCTGCTAAAGAAACGGAAGAACTTTTAGGTGCTCATGGATAGGACAAATGGAGAAATATTGTTTTATTCGAGGAGAAACTGGAATCGGATAGAAATCCAACTAGAATCACATATGCTAAGGTCTGTTTAAAGCGAGGAACAGAATTTGGATCAAATTTTAAGCGAGTGCACAAATATGATTAAATTATCATATAATAGGCTGAGGCCAGCCTGTACTCCAGCACCTCCGTCTCTCTCCCGTGTTCTTTTTGTTTCCTCTTTCTTTTCTACTTTTTCTCATCTAATCCACACTCCCCTCCCTCATCCCTCCCTCCCCTCAGTAACATCGGTGCATCGAACATCACTGGCCGAGTGGAGGACCTCTCGTGGGCCTCAGGCCTCACCAACCTGCACACTCTGTATGCATTGGCAGCGTTGCTCCCTGTGATTGCATGACCACATGCCTTCGTGCATGTACTTGAATGGATCTTGCTCCTTGCATTCTGCTTTCCGTTCTTAAAGCGCTGGGTGAGAAAACTCGTGATAAGCTTGTCGTTGTATGCAATTCACCCTCTTGTTAAGCTTAACACAAGTGCTTGGCGTTTTAGGCATGCGCAGGGTTCCATCTCCTCACGTCTTCTGTCCTCAGACTTCTTGAATACCTCATTTCAAGCACAGCACGATGGGTCCTTCCTCTGTGTCCTTCCTATAAATTCCATCTTCATTTGCCATTTGGGCCCCCTAATGCACCATGCCAGTGTGATGGGTCGCATGCTGGGTGTGACTGGAGACTTCTCAGCTCTCACCTTTCTCACTTCTCTCCATGCCATGCAAAGCCTGTAAGACAATTCTCTAACATGGCCAATGACGTGTACATGATTCAACAATGGCTATCCCTGCGCATCAATGTTCATTGTTGTGTATTGAGTTGAGAGAGACGCCACGATTCTTGGCATGACGAACTTCCTACTAGCAAATGCTTTCTTGTCACGCAACGCCACAGATTACTGCCTTCAGAAAGTTCCAGACCATTTCTCACTGTAAGGAGGGTGTGTGTCATTTGCGGCAGGCCTCCCCTTGAGCAGGTTTGCTTGAGGTCGTCATGGTAAGCATGAGAGGGCTGCTGATGATTACAGAGGTTGTCAATCTAGTCTATGTAGCTTCCTATGATAGCAAGGTCATGCATTACTAAAGTTATAACCATGGCTAGACATGAGCATATCGCATCGCATTGCATCATATCGCATCGCATTTAACGTATTTTTGCGATTGCGATATTTTATTCTTGGAGAAAAGTATTGCGCGATGCGATATGCACGATATTTTTTAATCGCAATTTTATGGCGCCTGGTTTGTGCAACATTTTTTTATCGCAGCGCGGAAATTCGCCAGCAATGGGTTGGAGGGGAACACAAGTTCCAAAAAAACTCGCCATTCTCATTCTGCTTTGCAGAATCAGATTGACGTTTCGTTTTTTGGTCGAACTCATATTTCTTTTTCATAAAAAGCGATGCGATTTTATATCACCTCACATTTCGGGCGATATATTAAAATGCGATGCGATATCATGTCGCATCGCATTTTGCTAATGTCTAACCATGTCTGTCATTTCGCTTCAACAGAGAGTGTAGGCGGTCTGCTTACACATCTCCTTTCCTTTTAAACGTGCATGGTGTGGCCACGGTGTAGCCATTCCAATACTCCACATATTACTCCAACTTACACATGCAGCTGATGGCTCAGTTACCCCATGCCGTGTGCCGTGGACCATGTGCTCTGGAGGCCATGCATCCTGAGCCATGTTCCATGATCCATATTCCCTGGGCCATGTTCCATGAGCCATGTTCCCTGGGCCATGTTCCATGAGCCATGTTCCCGGGCCATGTGCCCTGGGCCGTGTGCCCTGGGCCGTATGCTATAGACCATCCTGAGTTATGTGCCCCATGCAGACCCTGTGATGTAACATCTTTTGGCCTCCCTCTCGCACCATGCACCTCGCCCCCATCCCCGCAGCACCATCACAGACGTCTCATGGACTGGCGAGCTGCCTGTGTTGCTCGGCACCCTCACCTCCCTCACTTACCTGTGAGCCCTCATCACAGTCCTCATTTCACTTCTGCTTGATTTTTTCCCAAGCTCGAGTCCATTATCCATCACAGAGCTTCTTATCGAATCCATTCATCCAACAAAGCTGACTTTTAATTGTCTCCCAACATCCTGCTTTCAACTAACTGAGTGCTTTAGGCGACTCATTACAGCTACCCTTTCCAGTCCCAAGCTCGCCTTGCCATTCCTCCTAGTTGGCTAGCTCCATCCTATGTGTCCTCTTCCACCATTCGTTCGTGTCACCTCGCTCTTGTGCGCCGCTACGCATGAACCCATGATGACTATGCTCGCTGGGCGTGCTCATGTGTATGTATGTACACATGAGTGTGACTATTGTGCGCACTGCTGATTCCTTGTGTGACAAACACTGCACTATCTCTTGTCACATCCAGTGCGCTTGTGCGTGGTCTCAGTCAAGGGCTTAGGACTCAACACGAGTACGATCCACATTTTTGAGGCTCCTCAAAACGCCTAAAAAAAAGCACAGTCAAGGGCTTAGGACTGAACACGAGTACGATACACAGACTGTAGGCGAGTAGTTGTTCAAATGTCATTTGCTTGAATAATTGGACTCTATCAAATACAAATACAAATACAAGTTGTCAAACAGGAGTACTGTTTGTTGCAGCATTCATTGCATATGTATATGCATAGTTCGAGTGTGATCACAAATTATGACAGTAACAATGTGTCAGAAAATATGCACAAGGGTAGCCAGGTCCAAAGAAGGTGAGTATGAGAGATGATGGTCACAGGCAACCTGTCCTTACCTGTACACTGCCTTAACCATATCGCTGCACATTAGTATTGTGATTTTGTCTTATAGTTGGAACCCAAATGATATTGTATTGGTTTCTGTGCATGCTCGCTCAGCGCTTCCTCGGTGTACGCGTCGAATAGTACTCCTTTGGATGATTTCCAGGATCGAGTATTTGACTTGACAGCTGACTGAGAGTATCTGGGTGGTATTCTATACGCGCTGAGTACCCCTCACTCGAATTGCATTCGAAAACTGTGCTTCTCATTTTCACGCTGAGTTTCATTCCATTGAAGATATATGGTGACCCATTTCCCCCAGTCCTACTATCCTTCCCTGTTTCCTTTGGCATGCTTCAGAGACTTGGACGGCCTGCCTACTACCCAGTTCCCTCGATGGGTCACAGACTTACCAGCCTTGCGATACCTGTACGAATGCTTCCCCGTAGATTGTTCTCTCCCCCCCTAGGCACTTCATATAAAGCACAGCTCAGGCACGTGTGCTCGCTTCTCATGTCAAGCACAAAGCATGTGTGGTAATAGCTTCCACTTCACCTTCTGGCATTCCGTGCTTCGCACTCACTGCTCTCAGCGCCTTTGTTCCAAACACCTCGCCTTAGCCTCAGCCCTCCCTTCTCATCCGTACATCGGGCATTTTCATCATTGTAACCTTGTTTCCCCCTGCTCATATGTACAAAAAACTGCTGTAATGCCGAATGGCAAAATCCAAAGCGTAAGTGGAACAGCGTAAACAAGAATTAGCGATTCAAGAGTTATGAAATGGAGACAACTGACTGGGATGGAAATCGGTGAAGTGAAGTATCACCTCATAATAATCGTGATGCAATCACAACCACACACGTGTAGTATGCATACTTGCAGCAGGTTTAGGAATGCAAGAGGGTACTTGGCTGTAAAAAGAAGATACAGGAAGGATAGAGTATTCAAGGACATGGGTAGATGGCGAGCCTAAAGGAAGAGGGGAGCCACTCTGACGAGGCTAGACTATATTCCCCTTTGCCACTGAGACATACAATGCTTCTAGTGCGGATGAGTGACACGGTGGGTGGGGAGCATCGTGATGGTCAGTGTGTCACCCGACCATCAAGCAGTCACAGAACTGGCATGTATGTCGCGACACCGGATGGTAGAGTGAATTACGCACCTCAAGAGTCTCCCAGCTGGCATCGTTTTTTTCGTCGACATAGGGTGTATGCACAAACGCATACATGTGCACATGCAGTCACCCCTTTTAACACAGTGCACGATTCTCCTGCTCACCATTGCTCCTCTCACGCGTTGTATCCCTTGCTTCTTGCGTCCTTCCATCAGAGACGTTGGTCATTCTCATAACTACCGTTCTGGAGTGGTGCCTCAAGACCTCTCCCGCCTCTCTCAATTGCAGCACTTGTGAGTGCTTCCATGCAGGTCATGCGCCTTCTTTGCTGCCAAGCATGCATACAGGTGCTGGTGGTGCGAGAGAATCCGAGACAGTGGCAATGCTAGTGCCCATTTTGGCAGCAGGGAAGGGCTCTAATAGGGTTGAGCAAAACCAGGTAATACCGACCCAACCCGGTATTGCAATACCAGACTTCGGGTCGGGTATTTTCGGGTTGAGTACGGGTTGGGTAATATGACCTGGAGTGGACCCATACCCATACCCGGCCTTGGGGGGCGGGTAATACAATACCCGCCTGGCGGGTCCGGGTATACGGTATACCCGACCCGTTATAGGTCAAAACCGGGTATTAGTACCCCCCAAACGAACTCCGTTTGTCCCACAGTGGCCATGTATGGGTCTGTCCTGGAGTGTGTGGGTTATCAAATCAACAACCCGGAGGATCTTAGAAGCAAGAGAAAGTGCTGGGGTTTGGTGTGTTTCGCCATGTTATACTATATACAGTGTCTAGTTTGAACGTTTAGGGCTGCTCCTAGTGTGTTAAGACAACTGGCTCGTAGTGTTCTGCACTAGCAATCCAGAGCCTATACTCTACGCAACAAACATCCAAATAAAACTCCATAAACGCATGGCCCTAAAGCTCATTGCTTGGTCCATGCATAGCAAATAACCACATACGCATGAGAACGAAATCCCCTCAAGGTCAACCATCCATAGCCATAATCCCCCCACCAGCACAGACCCCACTCCTCGCAAGCCCTCGTCCTCTCCCTCAAGGCACACCCCCCCCATGGCCCGATCCAGCGACGCCACCGGGAGGCTGCCGTCGGTGCTCTGCGCCATTCATGGATGCTCGCACCTGAGCTGCGCTCAACCGGTGGTGCTGCCAGCTGACGACGTTCCGCCCCTGGATGAACGGTGTCAAGGTTGCAGGGATGGCAAGGTAGTCGCGAGCCATCGCCTGCAGCCCCGGCAGGACTGGGATGCAATATGATCATAGGACAAGGTCCATTATGTGCTGCATGCAGAAAATGCTGTAATCAGTGAATTTTACGTGTGGTGACTTCGATAGTTTTAAGCTTGCCATTAAAAGATCAGGGGGTTGTGAAGCGAGAAGGAGAGAAACAGTTGACATGTATGATGGTTGAGTCAGGACAGCTCCCAGTTTGTGTCTCTGTTCGCATGAAATGTTGAGGTTACTTTTCTCCTCCTACTTTGGCTGTTTACCCATTCTTTATCAGCGATGCATCCGGCAATGGGCTCGTTGGTGCTCTCCCTGATTACTGGACTGCCTTAAACCACCTCACCTTTCTGTGAGCCCTTTGGTTTTATGACACAAACTCGTTGCTTGGTCTGAACCATCCGATTTCTGCAAGCCGGTTATTACGTTTCAGTGCCAGTGAACTCTTTGTCGTTGTGAATGTTTCTTTCCCTCTCTGCAGGAGGTTTTTGCACTCACTTCGCACCCATCATCACCATCTCTTGTGTCGCTTCTCGATTGTTTGTAGGAATTGAAGTGATAGAGTTAAGAGAATGAGAGAGGACGTAAGAGATAGTTGAGGGAAGAGGGGTGGGGTTCATTGGGTCCTATGGCAGCATTATTGGCTCCCACAAAAAATTGGTTTGGCCAAATTATTGGTGGGGCCAATAGGCGTGGCCAAGTGTATTGGGGGTCCCAATGATTGATGATCCAACCCTTGGGGGCCAATAATGGTCTGTCCAATCCAAGGTGGGAGGGAACTCACCCATTTTGGGAACCCAACCCCAAGTAGGGTGGTTAACCCTAGTGTACACCCCGACCTAGGTTGGCTATGACTACCCAAAAATACTAATCTATGCAGGAGAATAGAACAGGTGTATATTGTAACATAAGTTCCATCTTTATTTCCGCTTACTGTTGTGGCCACAGATCAGTATCAGATAACAAGATTGAAGGCTCCATTCCATCGACATTCTCTGCCCTTACTGCGCTGAACGAACTGTAAGCGACTCAACTCAAGCTGCACGAATCAAGCGGAAAGACTATTCCATTCTGCCAGTCCAAGAACCTGAGTGGCTGCTCGTATGAGGCAAGTTGGGTGACTTCAACGGACAATACTACTGTGTGAGTGTAGGCAGGGGTTGGCCGGACGGTCTTGCACTCTGTCACGGGCTGGGTGTCACTCTTTTTAATGCCGCATCCAGTTCATCTTTGGCTGACCTTGTGTGTGCATGACGCCTCTTCCTGACTCTCTCTTCGGATTGTTCCATGCCATGTTCCCCAAAGCCTCTTGCTTCAGCCTCACAGCAGCCCCCGAGCTCTTTTCACACCTTGCCTTTGTGCCTTGCTGCCTCACGTGTCATTCCCCTCTCCGTGGATTGCATTGCCACCCTTTGTGTCTCTTGTCCCTTGTCATTTTCTGCACAGGTCGCTTTTAGGAAACAAGATTGAAGGCTCCATTCCAGCCACATTCTCTGCCCTCACCTCGCTAATCAATCTGTAAGCAGCCCGGATTATGCAATCGAACCGTTTTGCACATGCACGGGCTTTTCACACGTGCGTAACTCAACAGTCTGTTTTCCCTTTAGCTGAGTGGGCCAGGCTCTTTCTTATTTCTTGTCTTCGTCTCGTCCTGTACATTACGTCCGTCACATCATATTAGCGTCTCCTTCTTCCTTCCTGTAACACTCTTTCATTCTCAAATGACTTTCCTCATTTCTTGACAGGAAGCTATCATCGTCACATCTCTCGTCTCTGTTCGCTTCAGGGACTTGCACGCCTACAACATGGACGGCACCATACCACCCGTCTTCTTTCCTAAGCCCTGAGCAGAGCCTTTTTAACTCGAGCACCATCCATTCCCTTGAAACCCCTTGCTTGCAGACTTCTCAGAGCCAATCGCTTCTCTGGCCCCATTCCTCCGTTTCTCGGCTCCCTCACTGGCCTCACGAGCCTGTGAGTACTCGCTACAATATAGCCAAAATCGTGTTGCGTCGTTTCCTCTTATCTAAGAAATGGTTGGCCTTAAGCCATCTATGTCACCTGATACTGGTTATGGATGCAATGACACCTTAAGCTGAGAATGGGCCTCTTGACTGTGTGGCTTGGCTAGTGGCTGATGTGGCTGCTTAGTATGTCAAGGCGCTGGAAAATGTGCAGAGTGTGTGGAAGGAACCCCACTCACATGGTGCCTCTCGCATCCTACTTTGTGCAGAATTCATACACTGGGCTGAGAGTAGACATGGGCACAACCCGAGCCACACCTGGCTCAGCTCGGCTCGCGCACGCGAAATTGTGCGAGCTGGAGTCGAGCCGGCTATTGAGCCAGCCGGCACGCGGCTGGGGAAAGGGGGGGTTTCGCGACTGCCAAATTTCAGATCGACAAACCCCCCCGCACCTGTTTCGTCTGCCAACCCTAACCTCACCCTGTCGCCCTCAGCCAGCCCTAATTAAACCTTTAGCATACCTCTTCCTAATATTTTTACAAGATGTAAGAGATGTTTTAATTAGGGCGCGTGCCATGACAGCCCTAGGCGCGCGTGCCCACTGAGTCCTTGGCGCGTGCTAGGGGCGCGCTAAGGTTTAGGCTTGGCCGCACTAGAGCCCACACAACCCCCCCAGGCGAGCCTCCGCGCCGAGCTGGCTCACCGGCCCCAGCTCGACATCAGTTCCACGAGCCGAGCCGGGGATCCTGAGGACCCGGCTCGAGGCGAGCCGAGCCGGCTCGACAGGCGAGCCGAGCCAGCTCGACCCCAAACGAGCCGAGCCGAGCCAGGCTCGGCTCATGCCCATGTCTAGGCTGAAGTACATTGTGATTGTCGAATCTTGGACTTTTACTTTGCCAGTTGGGAGTTCCCTTGTAACTGCTGCTACCGCGATGTTGTTACACCTACAAAACTGCGCTACACATACTACTCCTTATCGGGCGTTTTAAGGTGATTCATACTTCCAACCCCTCCTTGTGCTGCCAGGGACCTGTCTGACAACGATTTCACAGGGGCTATTCCCGAGACTCTTACAAACCTCACCGGCGTGTCTCAACTGTATGGCCTGGCCCCCCTCTTAACATGACCAACTTTCTTTTGACTTCTTTTATTCTAGTTTACAGATGTTTGCATTACGATGCATAATAGATGCAGGTATCAATGTTCCCGGAGGAAAAGCTCTGGAGAATCTAGGATTGAGGGATTTAGAGAAGGCCAAATTAGGATTTGTGAAAACATAAAAATTCCCGGTTACGGCTTGAGGTTCATTGTTCCCTTTCCTGCTTGTGCTTGCATGTTTCAGGTTCCTCTCTAACAACCAGCTGATTTCAAGGCTTGAGGTGGTCGAGAAGATGACATGGCTCAATACATTGTAACAGCATAGTCTAGATTTTAAATCTCCTAAAAAATTACGTTTCTACTGTTGATGGCGCAGGATGTAGAGCCTGTGGAACCGGATTTGAGTCGACTCAAAAGCCTTTGAGTCGACTCAAATACAGAGCATGTGGAACCCTAGAATAAAAGTCAGCGGAAGACTCTACGCCTTGACTTGGAAATTTCCAGAATGACAAAGACCGTAATAATTCTTAATCCTAGTAGTACCTGTTGAATGTCTATTTGCCACGATATACGACATGTATGCGTGTTTGATACGCACAGGAAAATGAGCAGTAAGGGAGAACAATGTGTGTTTAGAATACTGTAAACGAGAAGAGTTAAACCTCGGTTCACTTTGGTGTGTCTAATCCACCTTGTCGTACTCCCAAAGTCCAAATGGTCCATCTTAACCTCGTCCGCTTCCAACCCATCCGACATCCATTCCATCTCATCTCATTCATTGCCCTAACTGTGTGAAAACCATGTGAGGACCTGCTTCGCTTTGCTATGACATTGTTGAAAGCGCTCTCAAAATCACATGTATTCATATTTCATCTCGAACATCATCAGCTTCTTTTCTCCTCGTTTTGCCGCAGGGACATCTCCTTTAACAACTTCTCGAGTGGTTTCCCTGACCTTTCATCCCTGCCTTCACTCATGTTCCTGTGAGCTGTCCTCCATAATAGCCATGCGCTGAAGTGCATACAACCAGCTTCTCGATTCCTGCTGTCTCTCCAGGCTTGCTTTGCCCCCAAGTTGTGCCTAACCCCTGCCACACATCATTGTTATCCTAGGTGGTGTGAAATTGTAAGCTGATTAGAATGCTCTCTTTTCTCTCGTTTTGAACACCCAGGACCGGGCGTCACCTTGGTGCTCCTGCCCGTTGTTATTCCCTGTCCGTCTGTTGATTTCCTTTTGCGTGACGTCGCATCCCTTCTCGTAACCGCACAGCGGGGCCGGAGGCAACCATTTCCACGGGCCGTTTCCTAATGTTGTGCTGAAGCTCACCAGTCTTGTGATGCTGTGCGTGGAAGAGAAATAGCCGCAACCCGCATGTCCTCCCACGTCTTGATCGTCTCGTCTGCCTATCTATATCGAATAAACTGAGTGGATGATCTTCCCTTGTTTTGTTCCAGCCAACTGTCGCCCTTGGACGTATGCCACAAATACACTCGCACGTCCGGTCGAAGGAATCCTACCCCTTTGATTGTGGTTTCATTTCCAGATTGTTCGTGGTACAACAGTTTCAAGAAATGTGGCAATTTCAACTTTTGTGATAGCTTTCATAGTTTCTTGCTTGATGATGTGTCTTTCCTCACCCTCATGACATCCCTTCCCTTTCTGCACCCCTTTCTCCTTCTCCCTCTCTCTCTCTCTCTCTCTTCGTCTCCCCACCAAGGTTAAAAAATACGTTGTTTTATTCAACATTTGCCGTATAAAACGGTCGTATCATACATAAAATTGTGTTCTTTTGATTGGTTAAAAAACACGGCCGAAAATTTCAAAAAGATGTGCAAAAAAATCGCGGATCTGGCAATTCGCCTGCCGAAATGTGCCGGATCTTGCGTTTCTGGCGGAAGAAATGCGCAGATCTGGCATTTCGCCCATCAAAATGCACGGATCTCACACTTGGGGGGACGAAATGCACGGATCTGGCAGACGACTGTCCACAAAAAAAAAAAGGCTGGAAATGTTCTATAAGAAAAAAAATGGCGTTTTTTTCCCAAAATCCCCGGAAAAAACGGTCGAATAATACAGGCCGTATTTTTCGAAATCTGTATTTTTGAACCTTTCTCTCCCCACTTCTCTCTTGTGCAGGGATATTGGGCAGAACGAGCTTGATGGGCCCATACCCAGCGACATATCCAAGCTCAGCAGTCTGATGTCTTTGTATGTGTGTCTTCATTAACACTTGTTGTCATGTGTGTCCAAGTCGTTTAGACTCGCTGACATCCACGCCGTGCATTCGGTCTTGCTGTATCATCCTTCAGTCTCCAACTTGCAGCTTTTCACAGCACACTAGTAAAGCGCGCATGCAGAGCTCTGCACTGGAACTGGAACCTGCTCCCTGTGCAAGTTCTAGGGCTCATCGCACGTTTTTTTCCCCAGCAGCGTTACGGTATTGACTGTGCTGGATCATTGAAGGGCTAAGAAGGCTCATCATGGAAGGTCATGAATCATGATGTGTTGAGAACGCATGGGCATCATGCCGAGCTCCTGTGAGCAGTTTGGCCCACAAAGGTCATTGATTCATAATTGTTTGTGACAGGACAGTGCATGTCCTGCAGCAGCCACTTGTTAGAATCTCACAATGTCTCTTTGTCACTAGTTGAATTACCACGCATGAGGTGGGTGGATGAAGCCGCGAAGGGTCATAGGAAGCCATGAGGCATCATGGATTGAATATCACGGCAGTTAGTCATTGGAGAAGTGTTGTTGCAGCTGGTATAGATCAACGTGTGTGGCGTGGTGTGGTGTGGTGGTGGTGTGGTGTGGTGTGGTGTGGTGTGGTGTGGTGTGGTGTGGTGTGGAAGAAGCCGGTTCATGGCCGATGCTGTGGCCATGAACGTGTGTGGTGTGGAGTTTGAGGAAATCCATTGTTGATGTGGCAATGGCGGTGTATGATTCTGTCTTACCCTCTCCCTCACTCGCATCTCCAACACCCCCTCCCCCCACCTCCTTCTCTCCCTCTCCGTTCCCTCTTTGCCTCATCAAGTCAGTCATGCGTGCATTACCTCAAAAGATAGTGCACATTTCCACATCCCTGTCCTCACCAGACATCTTAACCACAACGACTTTTATGGGGAGAACCCTCTTGGTCTCTTCTCCTTGATGAATCTCGATTCCCTGTGAGAAACATGCTCCTCCCCTCCGTTCCTCGCTTCATCCCTGTCTCCTCCCTTTCGTTGTCCTCCCTTCCTTCCAGCTTGTGCTCCCAACCAACCGACTCCCTCCATCCTCGTGCTAATGTGGTGTATCACAATAGTGAAGTCACGATTCGCCATATGACATGTGGAGTCAGTCAGGCCATATATTTGTGTTTTGGTGACTCCGGCAGGCAGTAGTCCGGATCATTTGTTTGCAACTTTTTAACAGCTGCACTGCGTGCATGGTCGTGCGTGGGCGTGCATGGGCTTTGACTTAGCAGAGCCTTCGCCTCATTGTCAACCACTCCTCCACTGCTTCTGCTTTCCCACTCTGTCTCTACTCCTTCACATATGGTATACTCTTCAGGCTTTTGAACAACAACCGTTTCAGTGGGCGTCTGCCAAGCACACTAGTAACAGGGTCCCTTGGCACATTGTATGATGATTGCATTGCATGATGCACCACGGGATGAGAACAGTTGTGTGGCTTATATGGATTACTTACTGACTGACCTTATTTTAGCACGTCATTTATATTCCCAGCTTGATTGTCACTTGTTTTGAGATTCACTGACTTGACAGGAACCTCCAAGGGAACGGGATATCGGGCCCTCTTCCTGATTTCGCACGATGGAACACCTCTATACAGGGCTTGTAAGTTAGGCGAGGGTGGCAGTTTGACTAGATTGCAGGGAGTTTGTATGAATGGATGCACATGCTTACGTGAACTCCATGGATGGGCATGGCATGGGCACAGCTGAATCGTTTCATCAAGTCCTTCAGCATGGTTTATGGTCCTTAGTTTACTTCTATGTCCTTTTTTCTCTCCCACTTCTGCAAAGTTTTCTGCTATAACAGTAGCTTCTGCGGAAGTGCTTGACGCAGATAGAGCTTCTCTAGCTCTGCAGTTCTCTAAGGAGAAGTTTGCCTCCAGATTGTGTGTTCAACAGCACAGCTTGACAAAGCTTGCATTCACACAAAATTCACTAGAATCAAGATTACAAATTATGGTACACAAGGCAAACGCTAATACTACCACATTGAACCTCATTAAACATGGAGAGAATGTTCGCACGAGAACGTTTACATAACTACTCTAGGCTGCGCTTAGCCAAGTCAGGAATGGCAGATGAAAATTACAGCACATGCTTAGTTGGTAATTTTTACCCACCCAGAAGTAGTTATTCCAACAGTTTCCGATGTGATACTGTCAGACGTTATGCACATTTCCGCAGTTACGATGTGTGCGTCATGTGTTCAATTTCTCAATGTTGCATGTAGATTTTTGCCGTTTTCGGTCCAGATCGGTTCTGTGGTTAACTTACGAAATCGCGAATTTCTCGTTTTTTTTTTTAACGCCACCTTCAGAAAACTAAGTCAGTTTTGCCGAAGGGGTGGTTCGCAGAAGTTAAGTCCGAGGTGACTCTCTGCCGCATGTCGTCTCTGTCGAGTGGGTCGACTGCAGAAGAGATAGCCAAATTGCCTTTCTGCCGAACTTCGGCAGAACGCAATTTTGCGCGAACTGGTCCTTGCGCAACTCTGCCCGAGGTCCTAGTGGAACGCATTTCCGAGAGTCGACTCTGCCGAAAGGATCGCCTGCAGAAATGTGTTTTGCGCGATGCTTCGGTAGAGGACAACCTCCTGCGAATGGCCCCTGGTGCCAATTCGGCAGAGGGTCTTGTACACTCTCGACTCTGCCGAGATCACTTCTACAAAACCACCTGTCGTTGTAGAAGCCATATGCAGAAAACGCGCTCCTGTTCTGCCACTTCGACAGAACCGCTTTTCTGCCTCTTCGACGGAAATGATCCTCTGCCACTTCAACTCTGCTCTGCCACTTCAAATATGGCACTTGCATTTCCCCGCAGAGTCTCGCCTTGTCGATAAATCCGCTCTTCGCCGACTGGCCTTTTTGCAGGGGCTCGTGTCCGCAGACTTCGTTGATATGCCGCTTCAGCAGACTTCCGCAGCCTTCGCAGGATCAGTGCTATTCTCAACAACTTCTCCCATCCCACTCCAGGCTTCTAGGAGAAAATAACCTTACAGGGTCTGTACCGCAATCAATCAGCACACTAACGACTCTGAACTTGATGTGAGAGTCATCGCACCATCTGCATCATCTGTGTTTATGACCAGTCACTGCAAACCAGGCCAAGATGTCACGAGGGAGGGAAGCTAGGCATTTCTTAAACAAGGGATGACTCCAGAACAATCCTGTGCAGCGCTAAGCCACTATTTTTCGACCCTATGAATCACGCCTATTCATCCGTAGGCCAGGCCTCGCATGTGCCCTTTCTCCCACACAACAACTTTGCAGATCACTGGCCAACAACCAGCTATCGGGGCCCTTTCCTACGGCTCTTACCACCTTGACCAATCTCGAGGCCATGTAAGACACATCTATCGAGACCCCTTTGTCTCATGTTTCTGAAGTGGTTCGAAAGAAAAAACCACCACCGCTCACTTCTTACTTCCTAAGGTTGCTACAGCATTGGGTATCCGAGTGATGGTCTTCCCTTCTCTTTTACCATCTCAACTTGCCTAGTTAACTGGTTTCTCAACTTTCATGCGCCAATCATCTTTCTTTGTTATCTGTTTCCCATGCATGCATCTCCATCAGAGACCTTGCATTTAACAGCATCTCAGGCTCCTTACCGGCTGGTCTTGGTGCCCTCGTCAACCTTCGTACGCTGTAAGATAGTTAAATCCACCGAGCCTTGCAATGCGGGATCATACCATGCCATACCATGCTGTACCATGCCATACCACGCTGTACCATACCATACCACGCTGTACCATGCCATACCACGCTGTACCATGCCATACCACTGTACCATACCATACCACGTTGTATCATACCATACCTCGCTGTACCGTGCCATACCACACTGTACCATACCATACCGCGCTGTACCATACCATACCACGCTGTACCATGTCCTACCATGCTGTACAATACCAAACCACGCTGTACCATACCATACTACGCTGTACCATACCATACCACGCTGTACCGTGCCATACCATACTGTACCATAATATACCACGCTTTCCACACCATACCACGCTGTACCAGGGCTTAACACCGAGCCGAGCCGAGCCAGCTTCGAGCCGGCTTCGAGCCGGGCTTCGGTCGACCTGAGCTGAGCCGAGCCGGCTTCGGCTCGCTTCAGCTGAAGGCCGGCTCGGCTCGGTGAAGCCGGCTCCGAGCCGAAGCCGAGCCGTAAAACGAGCCGGCTCGGCTCGGCTCGTTTTTGAAGCCTTGTAGCTAGGTTGGGGGCGGCTAGGCTAGGGTTTCAAAAAGGCGACTCTCATAATGAGAGTCGCGTTTTTTGGAGGGGTCGAATTTTCACCACCCAACTCCCTCCCTTTCACCGCACTGAACTCCTCCCCGTCTACAAACTCCAACATTTCCAGCCAAACTCCCTCCCTTTCACCGCACTGAACTCCTCACTATCTACAAACTCCAACATTTCCAACCAAACTCCCCCCCTTTCACCGCACTGAACTCCTCTCCGTCTACAAACTCCAACCTTTCCTCACAAATGCTCCACTCTCCCCCCCTCACCTACCTTTCCTTTTTGAGATGACCTAACAGCTAAGCACCGTATCTTGCGCAATTCCCGCCACCTAGCTAAGCACACTGCCACCTCCTAGCCTAGAACCCGCGTTTTTACTAGGTTATATCGCAGCGCTAATGTCGCGCTGAAGCCGAGCCGGATCGAGCCGGGCTTCAGCTCGGCTCGGCTCGGCTCGGCTCGGCTTTGGCTTCAGTGAAGCCCCACTCCGAGCCGAGCCGGCGGCTCGGCTTCAGTGAGCCGAGCCGAGCTGGCTTCGGCTTGCCCAAAAAAAAAGTCGGCTCGGCTCGGCTTCAAGCCGAGCCGTGCCGACTCCGAGTTGAGCCGGCTCGGTATTAAGCTCATGTCTACCATACCATGCTGTACCATGAGATACCATGCTGTACTGTGCCATACCACACTGTACCATACCATACCATGCTGGCAGGTCTGTGTCTGACAACCAGCTCACGGGGAGACTCCCTCCGTCCATCTGCAACCTCACTGTGCTAGACACCATGTACCGTACTCCCTTCGGTTCCATTCTGTGCCACACAAGTCAGGCCACACAGCCTGATCAGATCACCCATGACTTTATGTTCTCTTCAGTTCTTGGAACGGCCACAATTGTGTCTTTAACGCAAGGACCGCACGGTTTAGTGGTTCCCCTAAAGTGTGCATTCTTGAGTGTTCCTCTACGTAAGCCAATTCTCATTTTCTCTTGCCCATGCATGTGACCTGACTGACACCCGTTAACAATTTCGTCACAGCCTGAAATGTTTTATTTTCATCCTGTCCAGACACATCCTCCTCCTCCCCTCTCTCTCTCCTTCCCCAGGCTTCTCCGCAACAACTACCTTTTTGGGAGTTTTCCTTCCTGCCTCTTTGAGAACTGTTTGCACAGGATGTGAGTGATGCTGCTGTCTCTTTCTCCCTTCCTCGTGCATGCCTATGTTTTATATTTATATATATAGATTGTGGCACTGTTGCCCTTCATGCCTCTCTTAGCTGCCCCCGTTTGCTCCTTTCGTGTTGCAGTGACATCAGCAACAACAGCTTCTACGGGCCTATCAACAGCAACTTCCGCAGCATGATTCCCGACAGCGATGCTCTTCTCAACATCGCAGGCAACTATTTTTACGGCGACCCCATGCTCTACGCCGATGGCTGCCAGTTCTGCCCCTCCAAGATCATGCAGCCCCTTGTCTTAACACCAGGGGATCTCACCTCCCCTTCAGGCGGGCGCTGTGCACCCGAGGGGGTTGGAGGATATACTGAAACGACAATTGCAGGTGCCAACAAGCGGGGCGCAGCGAGTCTGCGTTTGAACTGCTTCACGCTTAGCGCGCAGCTGGAGTGCACGGCAAATGAGACGTAGCGCAGCAATGACGTGTGCCTGGGATTCTGCAGCATGTCGCGGGAGCTGGGGCCGTGCGACGGGCACGGAGCGTGTGTGCCACCGCAGGCGGGGGCAGCAGGGGCGGGGTTCACGTGTGAGTGTGACGATGGATACGTCACTGCCAATGGCGCCCTCGGCTCCACCTGCGCCCGCCCTTCTCCGCCCCCCGCTGCAGGTGTGCTATGTGGGTGGGTTGCTAGAAAAACATAAGAGGAATGAGTATGTTTGGAATTCAAGTTGACTGAGCACCTACAAGAACTTGAACTGTGAAGTGCCTCTAAGATACGATAATTCGTTTAGTTGCTCGTCACGTCATCCCATATCCGCTTGGGAAATTTGAGAAATGAGACTGCCCTTCAATGTCAATTGCATCTCACCTTTCTCCCCGATCCTCTCCTCTCCAGTGCTCTCCACAGGCGCAGTGGTGGGCATCGCTGTTGGCTCTGCTGCCGCCTTTGCTCTCCTCCTCGCTCTCATTGTGGCGATGCTCTGGCCCAAACAACGCAGTGAGCCCCTCCTCCACCTCCACCCCACCGTCCCTATAGCCATCAAACTCACAGTCAGAGAAATACAGCAAGCAAATTATGTTGCCTGTCTGTGCTGGTGTTCTAGTTGTGCTCACTGTGGTGCATGGCGTCATGATTAAGCTGAAAAATTTGCCTCCACGCTGTGCATCAGGAAAATGGATCGGCCTGGACGTTTGTCAGGAGTTCAGCATGGGGGAGATTCTGCGAGCAACAGACCACTGGTCGAGCGATAGGGTGCTTGGGAAGGGTGGCTTTGCCACGGCGTACAAGGGGGTTTCGGAGAAAGGGGAGCTGTGGGCCGTGAAGCGCAATGAGCTCATGTCCAACGATTTCGAAAAGGAGGTCAGGGGAACGCCTAGGCGTGGAATGTCATTGATAGCTTTGACTTGTGCAAGTTGATTGCTTGTATCACTAGATCATGCTGCCTTGAGACATGGTGATTTTGACTGTGGAGATCAAGTGTGTGCTTAACTATTTTCATTTCAACAACTTTCTCTTATTGTGCTGACACTCCTTGACAACGGATGACGCACATTTTGTGTGCTTCAATTAAATTGAACAGATGGAATCATATCACCAGTCTTTTGCATTAGAACTCTTTGACCCCCCCTCCTCCCCCTGCTGCCAGGTGCGGGCGATGGCGTCGCTGTGGCATGAGAATGTGGTGCGGCTGTTGGGCTTCTGCCTGCATCAGAACGTGGAGAGCGGCCAGCAGGAGCAGATCCTTGTGTACGAGTTCGTGGGCAATGGGGACCTCAAGTACCACATCCATGACACCAAGAGTACGTTGCCCACTTGGTCCCATATACTCTCTAACCCTCTACCTTCTGCATTAAGCCGCTGTCTATGTGGCTGGCACCTTGGTTGTGTGCCACTCGTTTTTTGCCTTCATTCCTTGTTGAGCTTATGATGCATTCACCCCTTTGATTGGTTCATAGATATATAGAATAGGGTTTTCTGGCATAGTATTTGTAGTATAGTTACTGTAGTATTCAGGGGGGTGGATATACTTCGAGTTAGGGCGCATGCAAGTACTTAGATGAAATGCAGTTCGAGGCCCCCAACCACGTTTCTAACACCTGGCAATGCGGTTCCATCTGCTAACCACGCTTCCAACACTTGGAAGCGTAGTTCCAGCTGCTTAAGGCCCAGGTCCCAAACTAGTCACGCAGGCATCAAACTGGGCCCAGTTTGATGCTGCCCGCGCACGCGAACTACCGAAGAAAAAAAACGAACCGACTACCACTTCGCCACCGTGAGAGGCAAAACCGAGGCTGGTATATCTACGGTAGAAATCAACTTAACAAACTTGGCCCAGTTTGATTCGTCCACTTTCCGCCGTTGGATCGGTCTTGCCAAACCCAACCCCTGTAAATCCCTGTTCTCGCAAGGTTTCCAATTGACGGCTGTAATTGTGCTCACAAGTTGGGACTTCATGTGTCCCTGCGTCTCGGCCGTCAGATCCGCGTTTGGCCCCACTTGAACTCCCAAGATCAAACTGGGCCCATCTTGCAGACGAAATCCCCTGCGAAGGTTACGGAATCACACCCTTTCGCACCCAATAACTATTATTTTTTCCACCCGCCCAGCCCAAATTCTGCCCGTTGACTTGCATGAACTAATTTGGGATCTGGGCTTTAAAGCCAGCAAACAGAATAAACTCAAGATTCAAAGTACTTTGAATCTTGAGTTCAGATGGGCGAATTAGCGAGACATTGACAGGACTGGCGAAACGAAACAGGACTGGCGAGGGCGCGCGCGACCTGACGAGGTCGTACAGCCCTCGCCAGTCCTTTGGCAGTTGGGGAAAAGGGTGGCAGACTCGTCACTCTTTTACTGTTCCAGCAAGAAGGAACAGTAAACTGCTAATGCCCTGATAAGGTAACTGTTTGTAACGGTCAAAGTATTATGAAAAGTCCTTACAGTTTGAAGTTAGAATTATGTGATGACATTGTGAAATGTACTGAATTCATTAGAGTAGCAGAGCACTGAATTCCAAATTTCAGACGTAGTTAAAATTGAACGCGAGCTCATGTTATGGACAGCCAGGCAGCTAGAGCGCTTTTGCTAGCCGAGCGACGGGGATCTATTTACAATCTAGCACGCCCTACAGCCATGTCCCCTACAGCCTTGATCCCTCATTCTGCCACAAACCCTGCCACTGTGGCGGGATGGAAGTAAGGGGTGTGCTGGAAGCAGGGAGTAGGAGAAAAGGGGGAGGGGGGATTGGACGTATGCAAAGAAGAACTCAGTGAGGAGGGCAGACGAGAGAGAGAGAGGGGGTGGAGGGGAGGGCATGGGGCGGAGGGGGAAACCAAGGGTGATTGGGGGAGAGCACGAGCTAGGGGGTGAGAGCATGGGTGATCCCCCTTCCAGAGCCAGATTTCCCCCCTCCCCCCCAAACAGTTCCCTTCCATCCCCCCCTCCAGAGCCCTCCTCCCCCCCTTCCCCCCTCCAGAGTTATCCCTTCCCCCTCCGATGTCGTCCTCCCCCTCCATACATAGCCCTCCCTCTCCCCCCTCCAGAGCCCTTCTAACCCCCCCCTTCTTTCCAGAGTGACAAAAGCCCTCTGAGCGGCAAGCGGGAAGCGGGAATGAGGGACAGAATGGGTGAGGGGGGAGGGGTAGTGGGGGGTGGAGCATGGGTTGGGGGAAAGCATGGACCACAGGAAAAGAGCCGGCGAGATGGGGGCCGGGGCTTGGGGAGGGAGGGCATGGGGATGCTGCGATGGAGTGGGAGGGCAGATGAGTCGGGGTGGGGGCGTGGAGAGTGAACGAGGCGTGCGCTCCCTGCTGAGCCCTCCTTCCTCTCCCCCAGTGCCCTCCAACCCGGCAGCAGTCTCGGTTAGAGAAACAGACATGGAGAGCTGGGTTGGAAGTGTGGAGAGAAGGTACAGCAATGCCCGCTGCTCTTGCTCAGCTGCTGCAATGGTAGGGGTAGCAGGGGGCCGACGAGCCTCGTTGGATGGAGTGGCCGGCGAGTCATCCGTTGAAGAAGCACTAGGACCAGTGGACGAAGAGCTGATTGTGGAGTCACCAAGGGCACCAACTATGCCGATGAGTTGAAATGTTAGAACCACCATCCGCTTCCAGTGGTTGAAGTTGGAGCCATCGGGGAGGAGGGAGGGCAAAGTGAGCCGTCCCAAATAGCTGTCCACAGTGGCCATAGCCCCAAAATAGGATGTCCACAAAAAAAGTTACGCGATGGCCTTAGCTGGAAGTCGAAGAAAAGGTTGCCAAGGGTGGGAGGAATGTTATAGAAACATTTACGGTTGAAAAATCTACTCAGATGCAGATGAGCTGACTAATGGAGGCTCAGCTATAGCTCTGATTACCAGGAAGAAAAGTAGACTCAATGTGCATAGCTGTAAGATGCACAAGTTGGAGATGGTAAAGATAGGTTCCAAGAGGAGCCCTAGAAAGTGTAAGACAAAAGTACTAAATAGAGATGACAAAAACATTGGGCTAAGTAGGCCCAGATTGTGAAGAAGAGAGAGATGGAAAAGTGCTGGGCGACTTGGGCTGGTCCAGGTGAGGAGAATGGCACCCAAGAGACTTGGGGTGCCCAAATGTTTGCTCAAGTCGCCCACAGTCAAGGTGGGGACGTGAGGAACCCTCAAAGTGGGCCTGGAAGCGCCCCCACTAGGGGAACCGCGATTCCACAAGCTGGATTCGTGGTTCCACAAGCTGGAGCTGCGTTTTCATGGTTCAGAAACGTGGGTCCAGGTTGGAGCCGCGTCCCAAATGTTGGGATGCGTGGTGAGGTACCCCAATTCGGAAATATGGTACCTCATATTCAGAAATATGCGTGGTGAGGTAACCCAATTACTACTTTTGTCTTACACTTTCTACGGCTCCTCTTGGAACCTATCTTTACCATCTCCAACATGTGCATCTTACAGCTATGCCCATTGAGTCTACTTTTCTACAGCCCTCCTCCTCCCGCTCGAAAGCCAGCCGACAGACAAGGTGGGAAAAGGAAGGGCTAGGAGCGGGGTAGTGGCAGGATAATTGCGTGGATAGGAACGTGGGAGGGGGGAGTGAGCATGGTTGCTTTTGAGTCGACTCAAAAGGGGAGTGAGCATGGTTGAGGGGGAGTGAGCATGCGACCAGCGCGGGACTTCCCCCCTTGTCTGAGCTCACCTTCCCCCTTGTCTGAGCTCACCTTCCCCCTTGTCTAAGCTCACCTTCACCGCGACCCCGCTTTCCCGCTTGGCGCGAAACCAACCCGCCGATCATCACGAGTAGTGCCATTCCATGCCACACCATGCCACGCCGCGCCATGCCATGCCATGCTGCGCCATGCCATGCCATGCCGCGCCGTGCCCAACCATGCTATCCCATGGATATAAACACACATCACACCATGGCAGGGATATGCTAGGGGAAAGGCAGGGATGAGCGCAGCGGGAAGCAGGGAGTGGGACGCACGTGTGGGGAGAGGGGAAAGCGTTTCGCGGGCTGCGGGTAGCGCGCAATGGCAGCGGCGGGAAGCGACAAGCGGGCAGCGATGGCGACGGTGCTGGAAACGGGCAGCAGAAGCTCTTCCAGGCCGGGAAGCTTGGCAGCTAGAAAGCGGGAAAGCGGGGTCGCGGTGAAGCAGCTGGGAAAAGGGGGAGCTGGGACGCGGGAACGCGGGAAAGGGGGGGAGTTTTGGAAGCGGGATAGCGGAGTTGCGAATGTGAGGACCAGGGTAAAGTGATAGGTCAGGGGGACGCGGGCTCTGTCTTTAATAAACCGCATTATAAGCACACACCATAAAATTGGCAGTTGGCGCTGTGTTTGGGGGCATAAATGGCAGGGAAGGAGCCATGGCCAGTGAGTACAGAATATGCACCAAGAAGCTTTGGATCTTGGTGGCAGGGAGAAGCTTTTCTGCTGGGCGAGCTAGCTGCCTCGCAGGGCTGTCGCTTGGCCAATCAGAAACCCCCCTCTCGCCCCAACTGGGTTACCCAGTTTGTTCTGTGCATCGGCGGGTTGGTTTCGCCACTCGGCAGGTTCAAAACACTTTGAACCTTGAAGTTATTCTGTGCTCTCGCTTTAATGGGGGCACCTCCAATCCAAGCTGAACCTTCGGGTGCTTGACTACCCAATCTGGACCATGTGCGCCTTGAGCACTCAAAGGGGACACCCAAGCACATTGGGTCCCCAGATGATCACCTGCAGTCACCCATCAAGCCAACCTTCCGTATTTCAGCTCCTCACCTTCACTCACTTCACTTTCTAGTCTTCTAGAGATTCTACGGCTCTAAGCCCTTGACTATGGCTGTCTCCTTGTTCTTTCAGCTTTAGTGCGCTCGTACTGCCTTGCCCACTTCATGGGCTTCTGTTTCTACACTTGCGTTGTTGTTTGATCTGTGAAAAACGGCCTTTTGAGTGCCTTATTTATGCTACTCTTTAGCATCATTGATTTCAAACCCCTCAGACCCTCGACTCCTACCTCGTGCCTCCATCGTTCATCCCTGGAGTTCCTAACCAACTGTTCTACCATGCCTTTTGTTCACCCTTCGGTCACCACTTCCTTGTCTCACATCGTCACTTCAAACAATGTTGTTTAAAATGAAAATGATCGTATTTCAAGCTGGGCCTTATATTTTAGCCTGAGTGCTCCTTTTATCTGTCCCTTACCCCTTTGCCCTCTCCCCCCGCCAGCCCCACTGTCCCTGCAGCAGCGGTTGCAGCTGGCGGTGGGCGCAGCGGAGGGAGTTGCCTACCTACACAGCTTTGCAACACCCATCGTGCACCGCGACCTCAAGCCCGGCAACATCCTCGTGGGGGAACACTTCCAGGTGGGGGAGCACTTCCAGGTGGGGGAGCACTTCCAGGTGGGGGCGCACTTCCAGGTGGGGGCGCACTTCCAGGTGGGGGCGCACTTCCAGGTGGGGGCGCACTTCCAGGTGGGGGAGCACTTCCAGGTGGGGGCGCACTTCCAGGTGGGGGCGCACTTCCAAGTGGGGGCTGGCTGAGGGGAGAAATGGTGGCAGCACGCAAGCAGATAAAGGCACAGCAAGGGGGAGCACATGCAGGGGAAAAGCGCAAGCAAGGAAAATCACAAGCAAGCAGGTGAAGGCACGAGGTGGTGACAAGGGGTACGTTGTTCCTTTCTACATTTGGTTGTCATCCCTAATAGTGTGATGATGGAACGGATGCATTACTTCGAGAGAGCCGCAAGTGAATATGAGCAAATGAGTCATTGGGTTTTGATTCAGCTAGGTTGGGTGTTTTCCCACCTTGCCACGTAGGGCTGGTTGGTTGGCCAGCAGCCAACTTAGCACCATGAATGTTCAATTAGTGAAAACTGGGGAACTTCTCTCTTTAGAAACTATGAAAGAAGTACAGTGACTACGACCCAAAGGCGTAGACACCAGAGTGAGCAAGTTCGGGGATATCGTGTGGTCTTCGATGAGACAGAGCATTGGTGAAGATGTCGGCAAGGCTGGTGGAGATGTTGTTCTTTTGCTCCACCAAGTGATCCTGCTTATGGGTTGAAAACAAAGGAGCAGTGTAGCTGAATGTGCTTGGTACACTCGTCGAAAATGGGTGGTGCTGACAAAAAACCGATGGAGGGACACAACTGAGACACCCCGGTTTGTCGAGGAGGAAACAGAGCCAATGGCCCTACTAGGCTGTCGTTGTCATCATCTTGCATGACAAAGCGAAGGCAGTGGAGCATTGAATTGAGTGACGGAGGGGTTAAGATCGGAAGGAGAAGAGGACCAAAGAGAACGTTGGCTTATAGGCGGTCCAACCAGTTGGGTTTGACCAGCTTACTGGTTGGACCAATAAGTGGAACTTTAACAGTATTGGGTTGGCCAAAAAGTTAGGTTGGTACAGGATGAAGGAGGAGTCTAGCGGGATCAGGGGCAGCAGGAGGCATGAGCGGACCGGGATAAGGGGTGGGCGGACAGCGTCTGCCCGAGTGAGAGGGCGAGTTGGAGGAGGGAGGGAATCGTAGGAGAGTGATTTCATCGCGAAGACAGCATCGCGGCTGGTAATAAGACTGCTGGAAGGAGGGTGGAGGAAGAGGTAGCTGGGGATGTCACAATTGTGGCCCAGGTAAATGCACTCCAGGATACGATTCCTTGTGGGTGTCGGTAGATTTTGGTGATGAGTGCGGTGTGAAGGAGAGCATAGCCCAGTAGGGGAGGGCCGGGGGAGAGGCATGCAGGTGGTGGCTGGTAGAGTAGTGAATGAGATCGCAGTTAGTAGGATGAACTGGGAACATGGTGGTGATGCCAGCCTGCTGTAGCTAGTGGATGTAGATGAGCTTGGTGCAGAGGATGGAAATGTGGAAGCCGGTAATGAGGCCTGCAGGAAAGAGAGGACAGGGGACGGTGGAGGAGTGTGGAGTCAGCACAATGAATAGAGGAAGGAGGGGGAATCCCGTTCTGAAGTGGTTGGACCAACCCAACTAAGATTGGGGTTGAACCGAAATGAAGTTATTATCCAATTTAGAACAACACACGACCTAACCGGATATGTTCAAGCAAAACTATCTCAGGAGCAATCACGGGAAATGAAGGTGCACGGATGCCAGATCAGCATGTGCCTTTCAAATAGAAATTTCAAATGCACTCCATCTGCACCTGTGTGTATGTGCGTGGCTATGGTTGTATGTTTGGCTGCATGCATGCATGCACACAGGCCAAGATAGCGGACTTTGGGTTGCTGAAGCAGCTGAGCGATGCAGGAGAGGGGGATGACCGAACGCGAGTAGCCGGGACTCCAGGCTACGTGGACCCGGATTACAACCGCTCCCAAGTGGTGTCGGAAAAGAGTGACGTGTACAGGTGGGTGTTACGAAACAATTTCAATGTTTTCAAATGTGTAATATCGCATTGTAATGGTCTAAAGTAGTGCATGTTGATCTCAGACTTTCGCGGGGTGCATCTGTCAGACTGTCACCGCTCGTATGCCAGTGCGCTGTCATTTACAGTACCGATCTGGAAAGTCTCATGCACACCGTGCCTGCCTCGCATCAGTCACCTCATTGTCTGCCTTTTCTGTCCGACCCTAAACCCTGTCCCGCAGGTGCTTTCAGAAAGGGTGAGAACTCGCTGCAGTCAGACTCTACCTCTCCTCCCTTGCCCCCTCTTGACTTCCCCCCCCCCCCATGTGAGCAGCCTTGGCGTGGTGCTGCTCGAGCTGTTGACTGGGCAGAGGACTATTGTGAGGGGCACCACCGACAGACATATTTGTGAATGGGTGCGTCCATGGGAACACTTGTGATTCAACCCCGGGCACGCTAAGATAGTGTAACAAGCCGCACTCTCCTTCCATTGTTTCCTTTCAAATCCCAAGGCCCTTACGCCTCTCCATCGTCTCTCGTCCCATCGCTCGTTCCTTTCCCCCAACAGCACACCCCCTGCCATCTCCCAATCCCGACTCTCCGCCATCCTGCAGGCAACCTCCAAGGTGCAGGCGTACGAGTTTGGGTTGCTCAAGGACTCGGCTCTGGATGCCCCGGAGGATGCGGTGGTGGAGTTTGCCGACATCGCGCTCGACTGTGTCAAGGTGCCCGGCTCCCGCCGCCCCCTCATGAAGGACATCGCACGCCGCCTGCACGAACTCCTCGCCACGTACTGCGATGATGATGAAGTCTCCAATGCTGACCCCCAGCATGCTCACGGAGGAAAGGATGGTGGAGAGTGAGCTGTCAGAGGAACAAAGTGGAGTGTCGACCCAGGTTAGGTCAAATAGGTGGCACACGTAATAGGCAATCTTCACAAACTAGCATGCCTTGAGTTAAAAAGGCCAAGATTTCAGTGGCTCTGCTGCGTGTTTCTCTGTTTGTGCTGACTCTTGAGCACTGCAGTTTTACAAGGAGAGCGTTAGATTCTTTGTTTCAAACTGGCTTCGGTGTTATCGGCAATGAGACTACATGACCGCTGAAAGAACAGGCAGACCCGTCTGATTTTTTTGTTTCAATCTTCTTGGAACCTTTTCATTCTCACAGCGGTACGTTTCAGTCCAAGGTTTCAAACCACCAAACACTATTACGTCATTTCACGCAGCATGTGGATTCCGTGTTGCAATATTAGTAATATGAATTTCCCAGAATGTCATCGTGCCGGGGGCATCATCTGTCACCCGTCTTCCTCCCCTCCCCTTCACATGCCCATCGTGGTGCATGGTGCCAGCAGCACTAGGGGTGAGCCTTTGCTGAGCGACAGCTGGCGCCTCCACCACAGGGCTCAAAATTGGTTTAGGGGCACCCTTAGTAATCAGTGTACCTTAAAAAAAATACCGTGTCTCTTAGGGAAATTTTTTTGTCACCCTTTGAAAATCAGGGTAAATCTGTAAAAAACGATGAGTACCCTGAATGTAAAGGGTACTAAAAGTATCACCCTGTCCACTGCACAGTAACCTGTAATTTTCCAGCTTTCTTAGCGTGTGTGAGGGACATTATCGGTCCTTCACTAAAATCACAAAGGAAGTCTGAGGCGAGCTGGAGCACATGTGAGGGCGTGGTATATGGGTTCCGCTTTGCGTCGAGACAGCAACCCGGGTTGCGCCACTGGCGAAATAACCCAACTAAATTCAGTCCAGCCCAATTTCACTTGTCGTGCGAGGTTCAACGCCCTTGGTAACCAGACAGGATTGCACAACCTCAATTAGTTGCGCAACCCATGTACCAGGCGTAACTGCCACTTTACCAAAATGACACACGTTCTGTAGTCCGAGGCGCGCTGGAGCAGGTGTGAGAGGCGTGACTGGCCCTTCGACAAAATCAAGCATGCAGTCCGACACGAGCTGGAGCAGGTGTGAGGGGAATGACTTGCCCTTCGACAAAATCAAGCATGTAGTTCGACGCGAGCTGGAGCAGGTGTGAGGGGACTAACTGACCCTTCGACAAATTCAAAGACGCAGTCCGACACAAGCTGGAGCAGGTGTGAGGGGCCTGATTGGCCCTTTGCCATAATCACACATGCAGTGCGACACCAGTTGGACACAGAAACTTGTCGAATATGCGGGCCGTTCTTCTGTCTCAGTGTGATTTCGGCAATACCCTGTCTGGTCAGGGTAGAAGTAGAAGTACTCTTACCGCAGCAGGGTAAAAATAATCTTACACTTTTTGACTAAGGGTCACGAAAAAAATGCCCTTACAAAATCAGGGTGATCCTGAAAAAGCTGGCCGCTGGCAAGGGCAATCAGGGTGAAACACCCTTCAAATTTGAGGCCTGCGCCACCAGCGCCTAAGGCCTTAGGGCGGATTCCTACGAATTTGGATCCAGCGAAGTTGGATCCAACTTCGTGCACTACCCAATTGAACTGCACTGAAATCTGAATTTCAGATTGATGCAACGCACTGTACCGCGCGCGCTGGATCCAACTTGGTAGGAATCTGCCCTTAGGCGCTAGCGAGCGCGGCGCTAGGGCACCGGACGCTTTGCACAACACTCGTGGGATATTGCGGCAGCAGCTCACTGTTATCCCAGCAGCTAGCTATTGTGCCGGCAGCTAGCTATTACAAGCAGCTAGCTATTATCCCAGTAGCTAGCTATTATGCCAGCAGCTAGCTATTATGCCAGCAGCTAGCTATTATGCAAGCAGCAAGCTATTATGCCAGCAACTAGCTATTATGCCAGTAGCTAGCTATTGCGCCGGCAGCTAGCTACTATACCAGTAGCTAGCTATTATGTCAGCTGCTAGCTACTATGTCAGCAGCTAGCTATTATGTCAGCAGCTAGCTATTATGTCAGTAGCTAGCTTTTATGCCAGCAGCTAGCTATTGTGCCGGCAGCTAGCTATTGTGCCGGCAGCTAGCTATTGTGCCGGCAGCTGGCTATTGTGCCGGCAGCTAGCTATTATGCCAGCAGCTATGCTAGCAGCTGGCTATTATGCCAGCAGGCTATTATGCAAGTAGCTAGCTATTATGCCAGCAGCTAGCTACTGTATTATGCATGCAGCTAGCTACTATGCCAGCAGCTAGCTATTATGTCAGCAGCTAGCTATTATGCCAGCAGCTAGCTGTTATGCAAGCAGCTAGCTATTATGCCAGCAGCTAGCTATAATGCCAGCAGCTAGCTATTATGCCAGCAGCTAGCTATTGTGCCGGCAGCTAGCTACTATACCAGTAGCTAGCTATTATGTCAGCAGCTAGCTACTATGTCAGCAGCTAGCTATTATGTCAGCAGCTAGCTGTTATGTCAGTAGCTAGCTGTTATGCCAGCAGCTAGCTATTGTGCCGGCAGCTAGCTATTGTGCCGGCAGCTAGCTATTGTGCTGGCAGCTAGCTGTTATACCAGCAGCTAGCTATTATGCCAGCAGCTAGCTATTTTGCCAGCAGCTAGCTATATTGCCAGCAGCTATGCCAGCAGCTAGCTATTATGCCAGCAGCTATGCCAGCAGCTGGCTATTATACATGCAGCTTGCTATTATGCCAGCAGCTAGCTATTATGCCAGCAGCTAGCTATTGTGCCGGCAGCTAGCTATTATACCAGCAGCTAGCTATTATGCCAGCAGCTATGCCAGCAGTTGGCTACTATGCCAGAAGCTATGCCAGCAGCTAGCTGTTATGTCAGTGGCTAGCTATTATGTCAGCAGCAAGCTATTATGTCAGCAGCTAGCTATTATGTCAGTAGGCAGTGTTTGGCCAGCAATTGCTCTAGCACTCATTGCGCTATAAGCAAGTGCAATACCAACAAGACGACTACATCTAGAAAATGCCCGTGAAAAGATGCACATCCGTCCTTTGCGAAAATAAATTGCCACTGTCGCAAATTTCACAATTTTTGTCAAGTTTGTCACTCTTGAACTCCAACCTAAGGTTGAGCCTCCCGAGTTTGAAATAACCCAACCACCCAAACTTCCCAACCAATTGCTTGCACCCAAAAAGCCACGTCACCGAAACCAACTTGGATGGCCAATCCCTCTCGAATAGAAATTATTCCTAGCTAGAGTGTGCAAGGCAAACTTGCACCCTAACCCCACGTTTGAGAATCTTATCATCAATCTCAATGCGCCAACCAATCGGAGCATGCCAACCAACTCGTCATCAAGCCTTCAACTCACGAAACCCTAGCACTCCCTCTACAACTATTCAACTCCCCCTACCAACCTCGTAATCTCAGCACAACTCTCACTCAGGTTCATTCTCAAGCTCCCTTACTTTGCTTCTGTTTCTGTTGCTCTTCTCTTGCCAACGTATGGCACCTGATCTACATTTTTCTCAGCATCCTAGCTCTTTTAGGCACATGTACTCCTTTTTTTTTTTTTTTAATACCATAGTAGCTATTGTGACAGCGTGAAAGTCGTCTTGACTGATTTTCGTTCATGATTTTGGACTACATGTGGGCCAGGCTTCACGGAACTTGTGGCCTACGGCGACTACGCTGGAGCAACAGAGTTTATGTGTGTCGAAGTTCGCCACAAACGATGTACGATTTTCTTTTTGTATGTGTCATTCAATGCCTCTGCGTGTTGAGTGGCATTATATTCTTCAAATAGACATGTGACGCCGATGTGTGTACCTTTTTAATCAGCCCGCCATCCAACCAGTCATTCTCAAGCTTGTGCATTTTTGTACCCTTCAAGGGACGTGCATGTACATCAATCGTCGACTACGTAGGTGATGAAGCTTCTACTACATGATCGGTGAGATTGACGGCACATTCAGCAGCTCTGAGAGGAGCTTTGTTTCCAGGTTTTCGGACGGCTCATGCCCAAGTGTGACTTGTGCTCCAAATTTGCATCTCAATGTTTATCTCTCCATCATTTTCTTCGTTTTATCACAACCGATGTTTTTATCGCACTGTTCTTTGCGCTCAGTGACTAATGCGCTCCCATTTTCCTTGTCTATTTTACGTTTGAGACCTAGACTTCAAAACATCTGCAGTGACCATCGAAGATGAACGCGGCAACAACGCCAACGATTCTGACTGTAGGATTGGCTACACCGGCCATGACACCTGCATGAAATTGATTGATTATAGTAAGTTACTTTTGCATGCCGCACCACCGTCCGACAACATGTGCTAAGCTCATGCTCACATGACCTAGTTGTAGATCTCTTTACTGGATATGACGCCTTATGTGTTGGTGACAATGGCAGAAAGGAGCACTATTCCGTCCTTTTTTTTGGCAAGCTCGCGCAGGTCATGGAACCAGACCATTTTTATACATTTCTCGCAAACATGTGTAATCTTCTATTTGTTATCCACCTGGGCACAGGCTTGCTGGTTTTGTTTTTCCAGGCATTGCATATTGTCAACGCGATTGTTGCTTATTTTTTGGAGTCCTTGCCCATTTTGGTTTAGTTTGAAGTCTATTGGAAATTGTAGTAGTAATTTTGTAGATATTGTAATGTTATATCTTAATAAGATGCATTTGCTACACCCAATTGTTTAAATGAAAGAGCTGCTGAAACGACCCACAGGGAAAGTTGATGCTTGAACTGTGCCCAATTAGTATACCGCTCCCATGCTCAAAATGTGTTCGCCTTGGTGTTCAAAAAGAAAACGATGCTGGTGTTCAAAAAGTCGAAACACGTTGTCCTCAAAAAGTATCCTTGGTCGGGTTTGGAATTTGTGTTCAACTGGTGTTCAATTCTAAAAAATTTGCACAGAGTTCGGACATGGGATTTTCTTATGTAACCAAGAGAGATGAAACGAAGGAAAGAGTGCGTAATAAAGAATGATATTGAATGCAACAAACTTGGAAACGGGAATGAAAGAGATGCAAAGAGGCAACATATGAGAGGAAGTGAGGACAACGCATGCAAAATAATTGATGAAACAGAGAAATGAAGAACACATGGAAATAACGAAATTGTGATAAATAGCAAGAGAAAGAAGCACAAGCAAAATAGTATGTTCTCTTACAACCAGTAGAACAGCCACCCTTCTGTCCCCATCACCCCTCCCGTAAGCGGCACTTGGAGTCAGCCAGTGCTGAGAGCTAGTGCCACCGCCAGCACTCAAGG